GTGTGTTTTGGATCATTGTCATGTTGGAAGACCCAGCCTCGTTTCATCTTCAAAGTTCTCACTGATGGAAGGAGGTTTTGGCTCAAAATCTCACGATACATGGCCCCATTCATTCTGTCCTTAACACGGATCAGTCGTCCTGTCCCCTTGGCAGAAAAACAACCCCATAGCATGATGTTTCCACCCCCATGCTTCACAGTAGGTATGGTGTTCTTGGGATGCAACTCAGTATTCTTCTTCCTCCAAACACGACGAGTTGAGTTTATACCAAAAAGTTCTACTTTGGTTTCATCTGACCACATGACATTCTCCCAATCCTCTGCTGTATCATCCATGTGCTCTCTGGCAAACTTCAGACGGGCCTGGACTTGCACTGGCTTCAGCAGCGGAACACGTCTGGCACTGCGGGATTTGATTCCCTGCCGTTGTAGTGTGTTACTGATGGTGACCTTTGTTACTTTGGTCCCAGCTCTCTGCAGGTCATTCACCAGGTCCCCCCGTGTGGTTCTGGGATCTTTGCTCACCGTTCTCATGATCATTTTGACCCCACGGGATGAGATCTTGCGTGGAGCCCCAGATCGAGGGAGATTATCAGTGGTCTTGTATGTCTTCCATTTTCTGATGATTGCTCCCACAGTTGATTTTTTCACACCAAGCTGCTTGCCTATTGTAGATTCACTCTTCCCAGTCTGGTGCAGGTCTACAATACTTTTCCTGGTGTCCTTCGAAAGCTCTTTGGTCTTGGCCATGGCGGAGTTTGGAGTCTGACTGTTTGAGGCTGTGGACAGGTGTCTTTTATACAGATGATGAGTTCAAACAGGTGCCATTCATACAGGTAACGAGTGGGGGACAGAAAAGCTTCTTACAGAAGACGTTACAGGTCTGTGAGAGCCAGAGATTTTCCTTGTTTGAGGTGACCAAATACTTATTTTCCACCCTGATTTACGAATAAATTCTTTACAAATCCTACCATGTGGATTCATGGATTTTTTTTTTCACATTCTGTCTCTCACAGTTGAAGTGTACCTCTGGTGCAAATTACTGACCTCTGTCATCATTTTAAGTGGGGGAACTTGCACAATCGGTGGCTGACTAAATACTTTTTTTGCCCCACTGTCTCTTATATCAGTGTATTTTCTGGTTGTGCAGTAAACATTCAAACAGTACAAAAACAACACTGACGCTGATTTCACTACACAGTGTAGGTAAATTGTGAAAGCATCAACCACAGAGCAGTTTAAATTGACATGTACGTGTCTTTATGCCTTCAAAAACATAACTGAGAATATGTTGTATACACAAAGATGACCCCTGACCTCTGTCAGAGATGTTGAAGCTATAACGTTCCATCTCCTCTCCTAGCTTGTCCTTCACCCACACACTGATGTTATAATTTTGCAGGTGTGGCACAGCTGGAAAAGTACATGATGACTGCTCACAGGTGAAGGGAGCCTTGTCTGAGTTTCTGTGTTTTTAATAAACAATAGAATTGGAAAAGACGTCAAACACATCCAGCACATCAGCTTACACTTTTGTGAAATAATATTTATGGTTTGATTACTTTATATTAGGCTTAATAAATCTTTTGTGTCCTATGAAATTTGTACTGATGAATTTTCCCATGATTCATCTTTCAGGGAGACGTGACTTTGAGCTATCTGCTGTAGATACTTTGGTTTGGGGGGGTGGGGGTGGGGGGCTGCTGTTTCTTTTTTTGTACTCCAGTTTTCCAGTTTCCTCAAATTTGTTGGGAACACACTGCACGACATGCTCATATATGCCAGAAAAACCTTATAAGACATTCAGAAAACCTCAAAATTTCTCAATAAGTGTCGCTCCTTTGAAACAAAATATAAAAATATGGCTGGTGGCTCAAAACCTTTCCACAGCACTGAATCAGTCCAATATTATGAAAATCACTGCCATCTATGCCTTACATTGTGTTACAATATAAGGTGTGTACTTCATGTGCTTACTCTATGTGGAGAGTGTAAATTTGCACGTTGCGATCATGCAGGAGTCGCTTTCTGGGTGAATCCCAGGTGCAGCTGACAGATACCATGTCAAAGGTTACACAGCTGAGGTTTCTGGGTTTCTGGGGTGGAACTACAATATACACACATATACATATACAGTTATACATGTACAAGTTCTGCATTAAATTAATAAAGAATACAAAAAAAGAAAGATTCAAACTTACAACTGATATAGTTCAAGACAGGAAAACTTTTGCCTGTTGCATCATCGCAGGTCAGTAACAAATGCTTAATTATTCCTTTTGGGATAGTGAGGTTGTTTACAGTGATAGCTTTTACTCCGCCTCCAATGCTCAAAAGACGGTATTCCTCGTTCCTGAAGGTCATTCTTTTAACGTTCACCCCTGTTGGGGGAATACAGCAGAACATGGCACTGCTGCCCTGCCTCAGCACACGGCTGGAGGGGAAAATGTGGATCTTATCGTTTGCTTTGAATCCTGCAAGACAAAGTAAAGTTACAGTGTAGTCTGATGAAGAGCTGTTCAGAATTTCATGCATAATCCCTTGGTATGTTCTAGGGTTCTTAAAAGGGGAACAAAAATTGTATTGTTGCACTGACAGAGACACAAAAAACAAAGGGGATTCAGAAATGCCTCTGCTTTCTTTGCACCCAAGGTCATTAAGGTGGATTAAGGCTGCGTGGCAAACTGTTCTGTAGTCTGACCAATCAAAGCTTTCAGACTTTTGTTTTCTTTTTTGGAAATGATGAACATTGCATCCTCCAGCTTATTGAGGAGAGAGGCCATCTGATTTGTCATTAGTGTGTCGTTCATTCACCATCCTTAATGATATCGGGTTGGATTAGTGCAATACGGCATGGGCAATTTCTTTTAACTTCATGAGTGACGTCGTACCTGAGGACTATACAGATTCCAAGAAACGGAAGAATGGTTGTTTAGACGAAAGATGAAATCGATTAGAATTTACATAACTTAACAACCCCTCCCCCCAAGAAAAGAGTCCAAGAAGAAGAAATAAACACCTTTTGACTCAAAGTATTCTGTCAAACATGTCTGACCACAAGGATAAGCAACACAAAAGAAAAGAGGAAAAATATGTTTTTACGCAGTAAAGTATTCTGTCACACCTGGTAAAGGCAATGTTATGACATGGACACGACTGTAAGTGTTACATGATATGATTGCTGGAAGAAGCAGTTTTATGACACAGGATGTCACAGAGACAGAAAAACAAGCAACAAACTGCAGTAAACAGTGGGAGGGAGAACATACAGCACTTGGTGATGTGATGGTTTCTAAACTTCAGGCTGTCATTGACTCAAAATAATTTTCATCCAAGAATTAACAAAAATCTATATATTTAAAATTGTGTCCAGTAGTAAATGTGCCCGATTCCTTTTGAGTCATTGAAAACGGGAAATTATATTAAAAAATTGCTGTATAATACAGTAGAATAGAATAGAATTCAACTTTATTGTCATTGCACATGTCACAAGTACAAGGCAACAAAATGCAGTTTAAATAATATATATAATAGCTCATGTAAACCCTGATTAATTGTAGATAACCAACATTCTAAAAGATAAATACGTAATAAATGCATCTATGAAATGTCTTTTTCAGTGAAAGCCTCACTTATTTCAACAAGACAATGCCAAACAGACTCGCTGTTGGACTCGCTTGGCTATTACAAAAAAACAACAACCCTGCCTTGAGTCCAGACTGATGACCCACAGAAACTATAACATTTTTAAAAAGTTTAATTTTTATTACATTTTTTTTTTTTTACTTTACTTCCCTTATAGGTAGTAAACTAAAAAAAAAAAAAGTGTTGCAGACAACGCCTTATTTCCCAACCATGTACATATTTGCATTGTACGCGTAAGATATATGTTGAAAGAGACAGATGTTGAGAAACGTTTCATTCCTAAGAAAACGACAACTGCTGCTTTTTAACCTCATCAGTAAAACATGTAGGCTGACATTTAATGATCAGCATAACATCTCACCAGAGTTGGTTATCCAGTTGCTCCAAGGACTCTGGTCAGACTGATTATAGTATCGCATTCTGACAGAGTGATCAACACACTCCAGAGGCAGATCAGAGATCCATGTCCATGTGTATTTGGCCGAAACTCCAGGTGATACGCTCACATTTTTCTAGGTTAAAAAACAGGAAATAATTGTTCATAATAACACTGGTAGGTCTTAAAAGCAGGATTACAGAATCAATTAAATGTGGTGGTAATGGAAAAAAAAAAGATTCTGTCTTTCTCTGTGATGACCTGGCAGAAAAAATACAAATTATCTTTTATATGTAACATTCTGACTGTATTCTATGACTTTTAAACAGCATTAAAAACAGAAAACACACCTCTCAATACTCACAGTGTAAATAACGGTGTGCTGTTCAGTGCGGCTGAGCTCGATCTCATAAATGTCACCCACAAAACTGCTGTGTTTTACCAACCAGCTCACCACAAGGGTCTGCTTGTCATTAATAGCTTTCAGAGTGATGTTTGGTTTTGGCAGATAACAGCCTGGCGTATGACAGAACAGAAGGATGTAAAGTTACACATTCAGGGTCCCAGAATGTTGGTCCTGTTTAGACAATGAACAGAATCAACTTTCCGGAATTTCTTTACCTGTGATTGAGCACACATCAAGATGACATATTGAGAGAACTTTAAAATGATCAGAAAGAACATAAACGAACCCAACTTACCATCGTCAAAGCAACATTCAGTGTTCGAAAATATCAGATACAACCCGAAAAGGCTGAAAAAGGATTTCCTGACATTTATCATCCTCTCATGTGAACCGTTTTTCACTGAGCACGCCAACTGAAAGCCTAATAAGTCAGCAGCAAGTGTTAGTATGAGTAGAAGTGCGAGTGTTGCGTAATGTATAATCGGAAGTCAAGAGAGGAGTGTTTAAATGTTAAACCAATGGTGCTGTGCTGTTTTTCACATAAGTAAGAATGCACCAAAAACAGATGTTTGCCACAACAGTTTTATATATATATATATATACATATATATTACATATATATATACACACACACAATATGATAACACAGTTCTGATTATGAAGATTACAAGTCAAATTTTCAAACAAAATCTTATAAACGTTGACAGTGCATGAAGCAATTTTTAAGCAATAAATTATCTGAAATTTCAAGGAACAGGGGAAAAAAATACACCCTCTCTTCACAGACACTACAGCATCAGACAGCAATATATTTTTGGCACTTAAGTGAGAAAACAATTCAACATATTGTGCATAGGTAGCCGCTCCGAAAAACTATACATGTATTTCATATTTATACACAATATAGGTCTATTTTTATTTCTCGTAGAGGCCCACAATCCCTTATAAATATCATTAAAGATCACTTGGAGAAATAATCTATATATAGTTTAAAAAAGGGGTTGATTGGCTTCTCATATATTCTTATTTCATTTTAAGTGCTCAAGACGTAAATTACATCAATTTTAATCTGTCCTGACTTTCTTGTATTTGAAGTCAAAAGGTTTGTAGCACAAAGGTACCTTTGTCATCAAACCAAGTGCACAGATACTTAAAAGATTTGTGGTAGAAGTGAAAACACGAGAAGTACAAATATAAAAGCTGATTTACAAAGAGCTTGTTTGTGAAAAGGCACAATGGTTTGATCACACAGGAGGAGAATGGTTAAAGTTCACAACATACAATGATAAAGGCACATACTGTACTCCGATTTTAGATGAACATAAATCCATCATATTTACATGGACATATATGCACACACACACATTTAAGCAACAGACATATTACTGTTTGTTCAGTATACAACTGGTGGCCTATATTGTTTATTTTTCTCTCATGGACCTTTAGAGGTAAACAATGTTCTCCTCAACTCCCTCATCCCTATTCTGCCCCTCGAGAGAGAGGTACGCCTGAGGGGGGAGGAGAGGGTTAAGAGAGTGAGAGGAAGAGAAGCCGTCCTCATAAAGTCTATGCCCTGTGACCTCTGACCTCCACAGATCCGGGGATTGTTTGTCCACCACTGGTCTGAAGTTTGCTGAAAGAAGAACAACACAAAGTGTCAAGTCAAGCCAACTTTATTTATAAAGCCCTTTAGAAACACCAAAGTTTTGGTCAGTGGTTTTGTATTATTTATACAATTTAAAGAATACAAAAAAAGGGAAAAATATATATGTATATAAAAATTACTAAACAAAATAAGGACATCAACATGACACATCAGTAAAAACAGTAGAAATAAAATAAAATAAAATAAAATAAAATAAAAATTTAAACAAAATTAAATCAAATAAAAATCTCAAACTGGGTCAAATGCCCAACAAAAGAGGTGCTTTGTTTGGCAAAACAAGTTAGTCAGGGAACCTAAGAGCAGATTTAAATATTCAGATTGAGGAGGCCCATCTACTCCAGCTCCCAACTCTACAAGTTGGGATCTGCTACAACAAAAGCCTTGCCCCCATGAGCAGCTGCCGTGTCCTCGGACATCCAAGAGCAGTTGGTGAGCTGATCTGAGTGACCGGGAAGGGGAGTGCAAGTGCAGCAGCTCAGAGAGGTCAGCTGGGGGAAGGCCATTTAAGCACTTAAAAACAACAAAAAATATATATATATATTAAAATGTACTCTAAAATGGGTCTGCAGCCAGTGCAGTGAGGATAAAGCAGGAGTAATATGCTCTCTCTTCGTGTTTCAGTTAAAAGTCGTGCTGGGGCATTTTGCACCAGCTTAAGAGGGGACAGAGAGGACACAAACATAATGAAGCCATGGATTACTGTTTCAAAGTGATCTTTTGACAGAATGTTTTTCATTTTAACCAGCTGTTTCAGCTAAAAGAAGCTGGATTATCCCAGTGCACTGATCTGATTGTCCATCCTAAAACCCCAGGCTGTGCCAGAGGGCTTTATGTACTGTGCCAGCGGGCTTATGTCGATAGGAAAAGGCCGACCAGTGATACAAGGCCCAAACACAACTTCTGTCTTATTCTCGTTAAAATTTAGGAAGTTTAGCGCCATCTACTCATTTGATTCCTCAAAGCACTTAGCTGTTTGTATGACAATAATGGATTGCATTTATATAGCGCTTTTCTAGGCACCCAAAGCGCTTTACAATTCCACTATTCATTCACTCCAGACTGGTGGAGGCAGCTACAGTTGTAGCCACAGCTGCCCTGGGGCAGAATGACAGAAGCGAGGCTGCCATATCGCGCCATCTGCCCTTCTGGCCAACACCAGTAGGCGGTAGGGTAAAGTGTCTTGCCCGAGGACACAACGACCAGGACAGAGAGAGCAGAGGGATCGAACCAGCAACCTTCGGGTTACAGATGAGCTTCCCAATCCCCTGAGCCACGGTCGCATGTTGTATGGAGTAGGCATCCTTTTGTTTTAGGGGCACATAAATCTGAGTATCATCTGCATAACAATTGAAAGCAATTTTCTGCTTTCTAAAGTATCGAGCCCTGCGGAACCCCACAAGACAAAGGAGCAGAGGAAGATCTGAAATCAAGTTCTAACACAAAACGTTCTTTGAGAAATGTGAGAATCAATATTTAAAATACTATAATTCACTGTGTCAAAAGCAGCTTTTAGGCATGTCCTTTTCCCCCCACTTTCCTTCAGCTTTTTGGCATTCACATCTGACAGGCATGAGTTGTTTCATTTAGCCAGGGCTCAGATTTAGTTTTGGGGTCTCTGCTTTTTAATAAGGCCACAGCATCATCCAGCAGCGGAGCTTCTCTGTATCTAAAGACACAGACTTAGGAATTCAAGAGTTCTGATTGAAATAAGCAGAGAAATGGATGGGTTAATAATATCACAGCACCTCGCAGGAACATGAGGTTTAATAGAGCTACAGAGCAAGGCAATGTCAAATGAGACACATACAGTGCCACAGATCAGGGTTCAGTGTGTGTCCACATTCCTGTGTGGGTCCAGACACCCACTGCAGGAAGTCAAAAGAATCACTTTCAACTGTCAAGACAAAGATGTTGTTTATGAGGGCTGGAAAAAGCACAATATGTACAATACTCATTTAAAAAGGCATGCACTTTCTACCATGCTTTATATATAGTAAGTAGTCTTACAAGTGTTGGTCTCCTGTGAGTGTGTAGTGATCCTGCTGCCAAAGGGGTGGATGGAGTCATTCAGGGCCTGAGGACAGTCATGACTGTTACTGTAGCTCGGGTATGTCATGCCATCCAGCGGCTGTTTGCTGTGTGTCTGGCTCAGCAGGGTGTTGAGGCTGTTGTAGAGGCTGGCACTGAGGCCGAGGTTGGTCGAATAGGTGGAACTGTGCAGGGGGTCTTCGTGGTTTTTTCTTGGCATGGAGAGAGGATGCTGGTGCTGGTTGTTGTTGGTGGGCTGGTGGAGGTGGTTCTGTTGGAGTGAGGTGAGCAAAGCTGCCTCATTCTTGTACACTGAACAGTTGCCATCCAGGCTCCCTGAGCGGCTGTGGGTAGACCCCTAGGACATCAAAATGACATGAAATAGAAGGAGAGGTGACAAATTCTTTTGGCTTTATTTTTTCTATCGTTCCTAGTTTTGTTTTCATTTATTTATGTATTTATCTATTTTGTTACTTGAATCTTTCTGTACTTTTATCCCCTGCATTAATGCACTTTCTTGTATCATCTCCCGCTTCCTGAATTACCTTGTATTCACCCAGTGGAATCATAACAGGCAGGCTGCTCTGGCGGCTATGTCTCCAGCTCTGGAGCAGTCTCTGTTGCGCTTCGATCTTCTCCTTCTCCCTCTCTACACTCCTCTGACCCTCCCTCAGTCTGTCCAGATTTTGCTGGTACTCCAGCAGCTGGGCCTCCAGCTCCTCACGCTCACAGCGCAGCCGCTCAGCTTCCAGAAGACACTGCTGCTCCCGCTGCTCCAGCAAAGTCTCCTGTTCACTCTGTAAGCATGCAAGGCTTATTATTCTACTGTTGTAACAGACTTCATACATTGCTTAGGTCTAAAGATTAATACTATATTTGAAACTTAAGCACTTTAACCACAACTTGGGTTTTAAGTTGAGGTTTTGAAAGCAGGTAACAGCCTTTTTGACCTGTTCCATATTAGCACTTAGTAAAATATAACCATGGCAACAGCAGCACAGGAAATTGAATAAGATAATAGAAAATGGCAGATGCACATGCAGCTATGAAAATGAGGTTACAACACATGTTTAAAAATATCTTATCTTGAAAAAGAAATTCACAGGTCACACATTTTGATCGTATATGACATGTTTCCGGTTTTTGTTACTGAAATTTGAAGTAATTATAGAAAATGTAAAATGTATTTTATTTATCAAGAGTCTAGTGTCTCATCTAGCACTGCAGTTTGCTTTTGTTTGCTTTAATTAAATGTGATCTATTTATAACCTGGTAAAGATCAAAGAAATGGGCGTAGACCAATGACTGTTTTCTGCAGTCATTGGCGTAGACTCATAACTAAACCGAGCTTTTTTGTGCCAGACCAAACTATTATGAAACAAAGACAGAGAGACCAGAAAGACAAGTGACTGAGAAACATAAAATCACTTTTAAAGAACACGAGCATGAAGCTAACCTGTTGTTTCTCTCTGGCCAGACATTCTTTGTCCCAACGTTGTTGCTCTTGTTTCAGCTTCACCTGGAGTTTCTGCACCTCATCCACCTCTTCTTTCTTCCTCTCTAAACCCTTCTTTTCCACTTCCTCTTTTTTCTTCTCAATACTCCTCTGCTTCTCCTGCTCCTGGACAACAATATATGTGTTGACATACAGTGGGGCAAAAAAGTATTTAGTCAGCCACCGATTGTGCAAGTTCCCCCACTTAAAATGATGACAGAGGTCAGTAATTTGCACCAGAGGTACACTTCAACTGTGAGAGACAGAATGTGAAAAAAAAATCCATGAATCCACATGGTAGGATTTTTAAAGAATTTATTCGTAAATTAGGGTGGAAAATAAGTATTTGGTCACCTCAAACAAGGAAAATCTCTGGCTCTCACAGACCTGTAACGTCTTCTGTAAGAAGCTTTTCTGTCCCCCACTCGTTACCTGTATGAATGGCACCTGTTTGAACTCATCATCTGTATAAAAGACACCTGTCCACAGCCTCAAACAGTCAGACTCCAAACTCCGCCATGGCCAAGACCAAAGAGCTTTCGAAGGACACCAGGAAAAGTATTGTAGACCTGCACCAGACTGGGAAGAGTGAATCTACAATAGGCAAGCAGCTTGGTGTGAAAAAAATCAACTGTGGGAGCAATCATCAGAAAATGGGAGACATACAAGACCACTGATAATCTCCCTCGATCTGGGGCTCCACGCAAGATCTCATCCCGTGGGGTCAAAATGATCATGAGAACGGTGAGCAAAGATCCCAGAACCACACGGGGGGACCTGGTGAATGACCTGCAGAGAGCTGGGACCAAAGTAACAAAGGTCACCATCAGTAACACACTACAACGGCAGGGAATCAAATCCCGCAGTGCCAGACGTGTCCCGCTGCTGAAGCCAGTGCATGTCCAGGCCCGTCTGAAGTTTGCCAGAGAGCACATGGATGATACAGCAGAGGATTGGGAGAATGTCATGTGGTCAGATGAAACCAAAGTAGAACTTTTTGGTATAAACTCAACTCGTCGTGTTTGGAGGAAGACGAATACTGAGTTGCATCCCAAGAACACCATACCTACTGTGAAGCATGGGGGTGGAAACATCATGCTATGGGGCTGTTTTTCTGCCAAGGGGACAGGACGACTGATCCGTGTTAAGGACAGAATGAATGGGGCCATGTATCGTGAGATTTTGAGACAAAACCTCCTTCCATCAGTGAGAACTTTGAAGATGAAACGAGGCTGGGTCTTCCAACATGACAATGATCCAAAACACACCGCCCGGGCAACAAAGGAGTGGCTCCGTAAGAAGCATTTGAAAGTCCTGGAGTGGCCTAGCCAGTCTCCAGACCTCAACCCCATAGAAAATCTGTGGTGGGAGTTGAAAGTCCGTGTTGCTCGGCGACAGCCCCAAAACATCACTGCTCTCAAGAAGATCTGCATGGAGGAATGGGCCAAAATACCAGCTACTGTGTGTGCAAACCTGGTAAAGACCTATAGTAAACGTTTGACCTCTGTTATTGCCAACAAAGGTTATGTTACAAAGTATTGAGTTGTATTTTTGTTATTGACCAAATACTTATTTTCCACCCTGATTTACGAATAAATTCTTTACAAATCCTACCATGTGGATTCATGGATTTTTTTTCCACATTCTGTCTCTCACAGTTGAAGTGTACCTCTGGTGCAAATTAGAGATGGACCGATCCGATATTGCGTATCGGTATCGGTCCGATACTGACCTAAATTACTGGATCGGATATCGGAGAAAAATAAAAAATGTAATCCGATCCATTAAATATCACGAAAGCACCTCACAAAACTTGCAACACGCCGTAACTCGCCTCAGAACGACGTTAGCACGTCGGAGCAATATGCATCACGTGATAGAGCAGCTGTGGCATGCGGGACCTGTCGGTGGTCTGGATAGCATGTGGAGCTTCGCTAGCAACCTGGCATTTCATCTCCGACAAAGTTATCCCCGAGAGAAGTAAAGCAAGTGTGTAAGTCCATCTCTGAATGTTTGTAAAGCATTCCTGCGTTAAGCTTAACGAGCGACTGCCTCTCGCTCTCCGGCTGCTACTTCAATCGTGAAACTGCTTAAATGATCAGCTGATCGGCTTTTCTGTCGCGAGTCCGTCTCTCTTGTTTGTTTTTGGTCCACTTTGCACCAGAAAGAGGAAACCAGCGGCTGAACAACAGCAGAACGTTTAAGCTTGATAAGCTGTTGTTAGAATTTATTTAATATTACTTTCTATGTAGCTGACGGCTGGTAACTGTGCAGGGGCGGATCTAGCAAAGTTTAGCCAGGGGGGCCGATAGGGCATTAACAGGGAAAAGGGGGCACAAAGACATACTTTTCTTTCTTATTCTCATTTAAAATGTCTAGCTTTTAATAAATAATTATCTGACACCCAAAGTTTTAATTTGATGTAAAATGAATAGAAGTCAATTACTGTATATAGTGACTATTAAGTCTAATATATATACACCCTAGTAAGCTATAGTACTTTTTACTTTGGGAAGGTACCATCTGTGCAGTCTGCAATTTTGTTGAAGAAAGATGTTGAATCTATTTAATATTTCTTGAAAAATAATTGATTTCTGTGCATTTTTTTTCACACTGCATCAAATTAAGGTTGATTACGTCGATTAAGCATCATGAGGTGGCGCGTGAGGGGTGGTTCCCTATTTTTTATTTATTTATTTTTGTTGTTGTTGGGAGTTGGAACCCTATTAGTTAGGTTGCTTAATATTTACGCTAAGTACTCTTTAAAATACCAGAATAGGGAGGATGGTGTAGGTCTAAGTTTATTAGATTGATCAGTATTGCTGAACTATGAAATATTTTTTTTGTATACAGGTATAACAGAATAGCTTTAGTGTAGTTGTTGTTTTAAACTTGAGTATGAACTTGCAGACTTGCAAAATGCAGCAAGATATTTTAAAAAACTGTTTTGTTGATTAAAAAACACTATATCGGATTCATATCGGTATCGGCAGATATCCAAATTTATGATATCGGTATCGGACATAAAAAAGTGGTATCGTGCCATCTCTAGTGCAAATTACTGACCTCTGTCATCATTTTAGGTGGGGGAACTTGCACAATCGGTGGCTGACTAAATACTTTTTTGCCCCACTGTAACTCTAAAATCTCAGCTTCCTCAAAACGTGTAAGGTTTTACATTGAGAAAATGCTTTCAGTGGGTATGATGTGACTGATACCAGGCTGCTTTGAAGGGAGGCGAGGGTTCGGAGCTGAGGTCCTTCTCCCTCCTGAAGAAGGAGCTGGTGGACTTCATAGCAGCTGTCCTGGAGGGTCACAGCTGCCTGCAAACATAAGGAGACAACTAATCACACTCCAGTTACTAAATGTAACATAAGCATCATCATACAGTCCTGATGAAAAGTTTAAGACCACTTAAAAAAATGGCAAAAAAATCATATTTGCATGGTTGGATCTTAACAAGTTTCCAAGTAGCGCTTAAACATGCAAAAACAAGAGATGGGTGTGAGACAAAGCATTTTTATGAGCATGCGATTTATTAAAAAGAACGCTTAAACTCAAACAGGCTTTACAGCTTTACAGAGGTAGGACCACGCCTCTACCTCAGATGCCGTCTCACGGTTATGGGGCTGGAGTCGGCACCAGGAATGGGCTTAATTTCAAGGATTGTCCAGTGTCTTGACGGACAGCCAATTGGATCCTCCAGCTCAGTGCTGGTGAAATTTTTGGGGGGTCTTCCACTTGACTTTTTTGTTCCATAACCCTCATTTAAAAAATTCCACATGACTGTCTTACTCCGTCCCACCTCAGTAGCAATGGACCCCGCTTTTGCAGTTCAATAACCCAACCACATTCAAAAAGGGAATCTTTTTTGCCTTTGCAAACAAACGTCACGACAGTGTGACTACCTGGCAGAATTTGGCCTTTAAAAGTCATGTGGTCCTAAAACTTTGATCAGCTGTAAAACAGCCTGTTTCAGTTTAAGCATCGTTTTCAATAAATTGCATGCTCGAAAAAGTGTTTTGTCTCACTCTCATTTCTTCTTGTTGCACGTTCAAGCTCAACTTGGAACCTTGTTAAGATTCAACCATGCAAAATATGAATTTCTGCAATTTTTCAAGTGGTGTTAAACTTTTGATCGGGACTATATTAAGGCTATTAAGGCTTTATTAGATGCACAGTCTTTGAAATCCCTTATCTATATCTATCTACAACCTTTTAAATACCTCTTTATTTTAGAGTCTGAAAATGTAAGTTATGGCAGATTACAAATTCACTATTTAGCAAAAGAAACCAGTAAAAGTTCCTAAGAGATTTATTTCTCACTGAGTTAACATGTAACATTATTTTAGCTGAACTGTTTTATTCTTATATCACATAAAACATATAGTCTTTCAATCAGTTAGGTAAAATATTTGTTCTTCTCACCTGTAGACTGTATAGAAGTTGGGTCAGGCTCTGGACACTCTCTGCCACCTACAGAAAACAATGGGTCAGTACAGTGAAACAGTAATGTATATTAATCCATCAACAAACACTGTTCATGGGGGGACTAAAGAGGTTGAACCTTCACCAGTGTCCCTTTGTTCTCTCCTTTTCTCAGCTCAACAGCGGAGCTCCACAACGAATTGTCCATCCCGGCTAATTCACTGTCAGATCCAAGAGAGGTGGAGCTCATGCTTAGCGTGCTCAGATAATCCGCTGTAGGGACAAGGGAAGGAGATGTGACAGCTTGCATATATGCAATGTGGTCAAGAAATTACAGTAGACATTACAGTAGACACTGACACATCAGCTGCAGTGTGACACATATCCCAGAAAATGTAATGCTGCAGTTTCTGCCAGTGACTCACGCTCAGACGGAGACTCCTGAATGCTGCTGCCGTGGCTGTTATAACTGCAGCACTCAGGGCCTCGGACAGGAGAGCTCTGACTCTGCACAGCGATGCCCTCACGAGCCTGGAGAATGGTGATCAGGTTTTCAGCTGGAGGAAAGGCAAATTTTGATCAAAACTTAATGTTTTGCAACACTTTTATTTCAATTTATTTGTTGTTTCCTACATTAGCGTGCAATATATAGACTTTTTTATAATTTGCTAATTTATTCAAGTTTGTAATACTAATTAATATACTTGTTAAAACGAATATTTTCGTTATAAGAAATCAACTAAACTTATATTGCTACATTAAAATATTATTTCCCAAGAACATTTCTTTATTTAGAATCCCCTCCAAAATCAAAAATTGCTGCCACACTCGACCTTTTATACCTTCTCTGAGTGCAGCTGTGAGCAGTGAAGAGGCCTGTCTTGGTGTCTCACTGTCGGTGTATGGTACTGATTCTACCAGCAGGTGGCGATGTGGTACAGGTTCTGGTGACTGGAGGGTTAATTCTGTAAGCTCAGCATAAAGCTGTAACTTCTCCTCCAGGCTGTTGCAGATTCGTTGGTCTTGACCCAACAGCGTTTCTACACAAAATGAACGAAAAGATTACGAGGAATGGGTCTTGTTATGCTTCATAACTGCACAAACTCTCTGTGATATGAACAAATAAACTCTAAAGTAATCTTCTGGTCTCAAACACACTTTCCTTTTTTACCTTGGAACTTGGTGATCTTCTGAATTCTCATTTCTGCAGCTTGCCTGGCTTCCTCGGTCTCAGCACTTCGCTCATCTTCCTCCTCTTCCTCAGGGCAGCTAGTAATTTGTGACAATCGTTAACACACATTAACCGGACCTACACATGGCGTCTAAGCTGCACAAACACCCTAGGTTTGACTTGTGCTTACATGTACCTCTCTACAGCTTGTCGAATGTGTCTCATCCATGCATTCCTCTCCTCTCTGCTGGTGGTATGAACTTCATACATCTCTGGCCCCGCTGAGGATGCAGAGATGAGAAACATCCCTCTCTCTTCATTGGCAACTTCTCTGACGATGAGCTTTTGTAGAGGGATTACTGGAGGCTTCTGGTCCTGTAGGTTGAACCAGATTGGTTAATAGACAGAGACACATGGACAGACAGTTTAATCTAGTTTCTTTGATTTAAAAGATTTCTTTTTTTTCAGGGGGAGGGGTTGATATTTACCACAGCAGCAAATATGAAGCGCTGATCTTTCTCTTGCAGGAAAACTAGAATGTCAGTGAGCAAAAGAGCCAACGTATCTGAAAAGAGAAGTGTGGACACAAATAGTTTGATTGTCTAAAACCTAAATAAACAACACATCATAGATCCCGATATGATTTCATATCCACCTTTCAGACGTCCTGTGGCTGTTTTCCAGTAGACCAGCCCTTTGTGCTGCAGATCCCTATGTTTGCTGTGCAGGTCCTGTTTGCGAAACACCTTGCCATTCTTAAGCTTGGCAAAGCTTTTGTTCTCCAGCCGGGCCAGCACTTCCTGAAGCTCCTGAAACTTCTCATATTTATTTACAGTCAGGTCCACTGCTGCAACAACATCACGGATCTGAGCCAGGGCAGTTGACAGGTCAGAGTGTTCTATACTTCCCTCTACGAACAGAAACAATAGCCAGAGGTCATATGAATAATCCAATTTGGAAAACAGCTTTTCAATAATGCAGCTTTTTGTTACGATCTCTTAACTGATAACAGACAAATAAGCAGCATTAAAATGTATTAAAAAAGATTTCCGTTTTAGGTCTTTAAATCAATAATTTTTTAAGAAGTGGTTTAAAATGCTAAACTTTTAGGCCAACATTTTGTTATGCAATCACTAAAACTTCCTCTTGCTTTTCATTTGTTCTTCTCCTTTCAACAAATATGCAACAGACTTAACATTTGCATATCTGCAGTTTTGCACAAGTCACAGTAGAGTAGACCCACCCTTGGTATAATGTAATATCCTCTCCAGCAGCACTGGGTACTTGGTGATGCGCTGAGTTACAAGCAGGATAAATTCTGGGACCTCTCTTCGTCTGACCAGCGAGTTATTGCTCTGTTGCTGTGAGAGATAAAGAATTTTAGCTGCTCAAAATATTTAACTGTAATATAACTAATTGAAAAAAAAACAAACAGTGGATCTGGATTCAGGGGCTTACCCTGACAAAGTTTTGAAGTTTCTTGTTCTGTTGCTGTAGCTCTTTGAAGACGTTGACAGCTTCGATGTGGTGACTGCAGAACTCTCCATACAAGTTTTTCATCTTCTCAGCATTTTCATCTGAGAACTGAGAGAGACTAGATGCTGAGCACAGACGTCCATCTGAGTATATTTATTTTACATAACTAAATATCAACTAACCTGCTGAAGCAGTATATCTCCAATCCTGTGGATGATGTAATTTTGGGAGTTCTCTGTTTGGGTTTCAGCCTGTCTGCGTTCCTGCAGAGCTCTGAAGAGGTTCCTGTGGAAGACCAGCAGGGGATCCAAACAGGGGAAAATCCGGGCCACACAGTCCCAATCCAGCTGCAGCTCCTCCAGCATGCCTCTCCTGAACACCTCCGACATGACCGTTAGGGTCTGGATATGGTGCAGCTCGGTCTGCATCAGCTCTGAAAGAGAACAGCCAAACTGGGTAAGGGATACTGAAATATCTGGCAGGGTTTATGTTTCAAACTGTAGATGCAATGTTTAGTTTGGCAAAGGTTTCTCACAGGCTGAAAATAAACCATCTGCGCTTCACAGGATTTTGATATGTTAACACACAAAGGTTGACAACACTGGTGGTACAAGTAATAATGAAACACATTTCTTTGGAAACTGCAAAAAAAGTTAGCTTTTCACTCAGCCCACAGAATCCAACATAATCAGCTATATGATTACAGATGCTGGTTGTACAGTATACAGTGCTTTTATATAAAATATTAAAACAGTATTGTTAATTTATTGTTAATTCCAGGCCGGCTGGATTTTCTCACCATAAATAACATCCTGGCGTTTGATTGTGTGTCTGTCGTGTTGCCTACAAAATTCGGCAGTGACTGCAAGACTCCATGACTCTGCTTCAAGTCCCAGCAGGTCAGCGGACAGGTCGCCCAGTAAAGGAGCATCAACAGTATCTACATGAATGAAAGTGATGAATAGCGTCTTATTTCTGGATCACTATTACAACTGATGCATGTACCAAGCCTCTCTGTTCTTCCTCACCTTGTGTGGTGATTGGCAGGTCGATGGCTGGGGGAGTCGTTGTGACTGGTGTCCCGTCATCAGACAGTGAGCTAATAGTGCAAGTTGGAGCAGCACACTCAGAGTCCGCACCTGCTGAGTCGCTCAGCCGTCTGAGGGAAAGAGAGCCAGGTCAGAAGAGCCTGTGTGGAAATCTAGGTTTCATTTATTTTTAGGCATACTAAAATAGAGTCTGCTTTTTGGAAGTCTCAATTGTGTCCATCCATCCGCTTCCGTTTATCCTTTTCAGGGTCGCGGGGGGCACTGGAGCCTATCCCAGCTGTCGTAGGGCACAGAAGAATACATTTTTTTTAATTTCCAAATGTTTTTTCTACTCCTGGATCTGTGTGACATCAACATGAGGGAGTATCCCCAATGTGGTCATCTCAGATAGACAGCTCTGACTGGGAGTACAGAAACCCCATCAACCTGTTGTTCAGACCTGTTTGTCAGGGCCAGCCAATCAGAAGAAAACTGGCTTAAAGGGAGGGGAAGCTACGATGGCTTGTTTCATACAGTGGATGAACTATGGACGAACCTATAAATCATGGAAAACATCTCTAAAAGAATATGAGAGTAAAAACATGGAGCTGGAAATAAGCATAATAGGTCACATTTAAAAGTAAACAAATTGAATTAAAAGACAAAATGAATGCAGTTCATTCATTCTTAATGCTTTTTTCATACCGGTGGTAATATTTTTCTTTTCCCAGATCATAACCAGCCTACCTGCTGTCTGCAGAGATAGAGAGGCTTTTAGTAAGCGGTGCGACTGTTTCTCTTTTTTCTCTGTTCATTGTTGGAAGCGAAGAGGACGGGCAGGAAGAAGAAGAGAAAATGGAGGATGGTGGGTTTTCTTTGACAGGGTCTAAAAAGGAAGATCAAAAGGAGGAGAAATACGTCATACACTGGAAGCTTTCCCACTCTAAAAATAAATATTGCGTGTTTGTTTAGTATTCAGATGTTTTGTTTATATCTATGTAGTCACTGCTATAAAATTTACAGGATCATTAAACTGTTATAATCTTTCACTGTTTAACTGCAGTTTGATTACAGTTGTGACAATACATTGCAGATGTTGACACCTCTGTCTAATACCAAGCACTCAAAGAAGACAGAAAGCTTAAACTGAAGAAATAAAATGATCATGTTAGTGCAAATAGAGCACTCAACCCGTGTTCTCATGCACACGTAAACACAATCCAGACCAGATCCCCCACTGAGGTAGATTAAAATTTAACTTTTTCTTTTTTTTAAACAGGAAAGAAAAACAACAGAAGAGGAATGACGAGGGGTGAAGAGCAATGGCTTACTTATCTACTACAGGACAAGGGAGGACAGGTGAAAACTAAATGAATCAAAGACAAAGGGAGGAGCAGTGGGGGCACTCACTCTGCGGGAGAGAAAAGGCCTTGTTCTTCATCAGCAATGCATTCCTGTCTTGCAGTTTCTGGAAAGATATAATCATATCGCCACCAAAAGTTGTAAATCTGAGTGTTTTTGCTTTGAATAACAGGAGGATGTGGTTGTAATCACAACAAATTTAGTCAAAACTGGAATCAGTTAAAGAGAAACATGCTGGGAGATATTGTACTTATGCATGACTAATTTGTGATATCAACACATTCCCGGAGTTCCTTTGTCACCATGTCCAGGAATTTACTCTTCCTGTGGAAAAAAGTACCCACTTTCACTCTGCTCGTCTTTACTAAAGTAACTGACTACTTTTTCTTTGTTTTCCTTCTTTTCTTGCATTTTGCCCTCTTTAGACAACAAAAACAGGGGTGATAAGAGACACAGGAAAACACAAAGGGAATGATTAAAACTAGATAACTAGCTACAACACAGTAACAGACTGAGTGACAGATTTCTGGTTTAGCTAGCATGTACTTAAATGCAATCTGTGGATTTTGGGTCCAAATAGTGCTACACAACAATGTTTTTAGGAGTGTTTGTGTGCACATGTGGGCAGTGGTTTGACACCATTCTGCTAGCTGACATTGAACACAGATGTAAATAATGAACGCAAAACAACCAGTATAAACACGTGTTTTACATACCAAACGTGTTTGCTAGATGTAAAAGTAAATGAATGTGTTGTTTAATGCATAGGGCATAAAATCTCTTTCTACAGCATTGTGGTCTGTTCAGGTAATAAAGGATCACTACAGTGATGGATAGTTTACAAGTTAACATCTGCAGCAGAAGAAAAGCTGTACTTACAATCCAGAGTGTAGGTCAAGCTTTAGTAATGTCAGAGCCTACAGTTTCCATAACACCATCTATAACATAACAAACCTTTTCGTTCTCATCTATTTATACAGGCTGACTAGTGCTAACTGAAAGTGCCTGACCTATTTTTGTAAAACTGACCTCATCCCTGGCTGACTGTGTAAGCCATACAGAAACGGACAAAGACTTTGTCCCCAAGAAGTCAGCTGACAAATGAAAACATGCGACATTTAAAAAAAAAAAAAAAGAGGTAGGACTTTATATTCTGCCAAATATAAAATAACAACATTGTTAACTATGTTAAAACAGCACATCAAACATGAAGCAGTCTGTCACCAGCAGCTGTTTCTTTTTCTTTTTTTTACATTTGTGAAGCTCTCTGGCTTGACTTTTTTCTTTTGTAAAACTATTTTTAAATCAATAATCTTGCTTATTTGCTCTGAGCGCAAACGAGGTGCATTGTGTTAATGATTACCTTTGCACAGGCTGCAACAGACTCCCGACAGTTCTTATGAACATTCAGTAAACAGTCTGCAGACAAGCACATATAAAATGTCAGTTAATTCCATGAACTGAGTTATTACAACATATGTGAATCCAGTATCCAGATGGCAGACAAACTGTTGTTTGTCACTAGAAATGTTGACTTTATGAAAGAAAAAAAAAATGACTTCATGTCTTATACTGAACAAAACATCACAGCAGCACGTGCAAAGAGATTTAAACAAATCCAAAACAGTTCAGCCACCACAGGACATAAAACAACATCAGCACTGACAGTGTAATACTTACTGGAGCACTGCAACAGCTCCTTCCCAGAAACAGACTTATCACAGGCCACACAAAGAGCAGGACCAGATGGAGACACAGGAACAAACTGATGACCATTAGGAGTGACTGACTTCTCCTTTCCCTCCTTCACCTCTTTACCCTTCACCTGAGAGGCAAATGATAGATATTTTTTAAATGTGCTCATTCAGCTGACAGTTATTGCAGATAATGCCATAATAACATGCAAAGCAGGAGAGTAGAAATAATATGACTCATTGCAGCAGGCAAAAAAGAGGCTTAAAGCGGCCATCTTCTTGCTGAAAAACACCTGTTAAAGTGAAGTTAGTTGAGATAAAGGGGCCTCTGAGTGAGCCTTTTTGTTTACTTTGTTAAGGTCCATTGGGACTGCTGCTGTTATGGTGCTTTATCATTAGGGGGCACTGGGATGGAGGGGAGGGGGGTGTCCTCAGTGTATGCTGCGATAGAAGAATGTTTATTATCTTTTGAAACTTTGCAAGGAGGTCTAGAAAATGTGTTTGTTTTCTGAGTCTTCATGTGCATTGTGTTTCCGTAAATATAGGGAAACACTGTCGTTAAAAACATGCACATCCTTAAAGACACGCACATATGTTCACAAGATTAGGAGTGCAGCACAGAATGTGTTTTGGTTCCCCATGCTGTGTGTGTGTGGAGCGGGGGTCTACATGTTATGTAAGAGAATATTTTCACTGTGTCTTGTTGCTAAGACCTGAAGAGAGAGAGAATTTTCTGCTTCACCAAATAAAGACTTGTGCTCAGACAATGGCCCCCCCAGCACAAGAATTCCGACCTGGCATGTCTGAGATGTGGTAAACTTTTACTGCACTGCTTTTAGAAGCCTTTAAGCCGTGTGTGTGTGTGTGTGTGTGTGTGTTTTTTTTAATCGTAACCTTTAACTGTAGGCATTTTTAATGACATTTGAGTAGATCTGAAATCACAGCCAGCATGAATTAGAAAGTCCACTGCACTGTCTCACCTTAGTCTTGCTGCGAGTGCTCGACATCCTGCTCTTGAGGAAGCTGAAGGTCCGGCTGACTTTGTACTTCTCTGACTCGACCTTAGATGGGATTATGTATTTATCCCAGTCCTCATCCTCGATCCTGTTTTAGTGTAAATGCTTTAGTCAGAGGTCATTACAACTCCTCACTGCAGTACTACCATCCAACATGCACACACTAACAAAAAGACATCATAATTTTAGTAGTTTAATAGACTAAAGAGAGCATAATAAGGTACACTGGTATCATGCTGGAATGAAAGAATGTCCAGACAGTCTTCCAGGACCCCTAGTCTACGGATTATTACTCTTCACAACATGCTCGGCATGCTTGGAAGTCACTATGGACTCTAGTGCATGCTATTTATAGTATGACCTTGCCAAAATGCAATTAATACGTGTCATCTATTTTCAGCGAGTTATGCTAGTTACATTGGGCATTCTAGGTGAAAGGCAACAATGACAGAACGTAAAAACAAACAACCATGCATTATCACATCAAACCTACAGCAGCCACCCGTCATAAGAAGTGTTAATATAATCTGCTTCTGCAGATTCCTACATCATCAGATGCAGCTGGGAAAAAACCTACATGGTTAATGGATGAGCTTGGGAACGGTCGCACAGCGGGGTTAAAATGACTTAAGCCACACATGCACATGTGAGGCCATTTAGGTGAATAACATACTCTTTGAGGAACTCTGTGAGGGTGAGGTGTTCGAGTGGTGCGCTGCTCTCCTCCTCTGCTGACTGGGCCCGCTTACGGAAACCCAAAACCCTGCATGGATATAAAGCACCTCAGGCCAAGTTGTTGTGTCTCTTCTCATCAGGTAACTCAAAATGCCAATAATATTCTAAAGTCTACAAGTCATTCCTAGAACAGTGTGGGAATGGAAAATTAAGATAATTACAGGTTTTGCAATGAAGAGTTACACTGGTGTTTGTATTATCTGCTATTTTTAGTTGAACATTTAAATATTAACCAGCGCTTTTTGGGCAGTGGTAGTTAAATCAGATGGATTCTGATATCGTAAAGGACAAAAACAGTTGGTGAGTCTAATCAGGTTGGTGTGGTTATATAAATGTAATTTATCCTAATACAATAATCTAATGGTGTAATATAATTTGATTGCCTAATATGATCTTCTACAGTGTTTCCTCTGTTAGCAATGGTTGTTAGAAAACAAAATATATTAGCACATGATGAATTTATGAGGCAATGAGATGAAATCGATGATAAAATGGATATGGATAGAAGCATTTCTTAAATGAAATCAAAACAAGCAATGTTACTACAGTGGTCCCCAACCTTTTTTCTGCCCTGTCAGATGGACACAAGAGCCCCTCATCAGCACCACGTATAAATGTGTTCATTTGACCTCAGTTTAACCTGGACCAGGACTACTTTTAGCTTATCAATTACCCTAACCCCATTCAGCTTCCATTCAGGCATACATAAGCCAGGGACATTTTCTATCACATGGGATCACGAGGACTAGTAGGCTAGATTAGCAAACTATCTCAACCATTTTTCCATAACTACCGGCGTACCATTTCAACTATTTACTTTAAATAGCAGCTACTTCATTTAACTGCTATCCATTATGTTTAGTGACCAGTTTCAAATGTTTATTCATTGTGTTTATTTATCCAAGAGCCTATCTTATAATCTCGGCTATTTATTTAAACTGTTAGCAAACAATTTATATAGCTGACAACACTTTTAGCTAATAATTTTCAACCCTTTATTCATAATTTTAGCTCACTTTTTCATCTGCTTTCTAGTTATGTTTAGATATCATTTTGAGCTTTTTAGCTACTGATTTAAACTGTAACAGCCATATTTTCAGCTACCTGTTTTAAAATCAAGCTACAGTCACGTCAAAAAGAAGGTTTCCAAACAAGTCTATGCAGAATACTGAGTGCGAGTACATCCTTGCAAGAATTTGAAGTGAAAAAGTCCAGTTAATTTTTTTCCCAAACTCCTTAGACTATATCCTTAATACTTCCATAGAAATTAAGAAGAAGCAGCAGCCATGTGCAGCTACTTATGATCAAATAGTGCAGGACCTGGTTGGACTGATCATCAGCAAGTGTGACCATCTCTAGAAAAGAAGTTTTGTCAGGTGTCTCACAACACAATGTCACAATCTTCAGCAAATTCTCCCCAAAGTCAGGCTGTGCAATGATCAGAGAAACTAAAAACCCAAATTATACATTTTAAAGTGACAGTACTTTTGCGTGGGAACTAATTATTTGTGCAGGGTAACAGTTTCCACACAAATATTATTAAATGAGACCCAGTGATTCCAAGCAGAGCAGCTAATATACAAAAAGGATTGCTGAAAAGGAAAAGAATCAAGGTGTTGCAACGGCCCTGTCAAAGTCCAGACTTCAACCCCAAAGAAATGCTGAAGTGGAACCTTAAGAAAACTGTGCATAAACAAATAACTGCAAACTTCAATAGGTCAAGATTCCTCTGCAACAATGCGAAAAACTGCTAAAGTCATAGAGAAAATTATCACTTCAAGTTACTGCTGCTAAAGAATGCACATGGGATGTACTCCGTTTTCCAGAAGACTGCATAGTCTTTTTCACATGACTGTACTTTAACCACTTTTCACTTCTTGTTGAGATAAATGATTAAAATCTATTTTAATCAGTTCTGCATGTATTTTGGCTCTGCATGCTGTTTAGCTTTGATTAGCTACCCCGGGAAGCACTTGTACACAATGGTTGGGAATCCCTGCGTTACAGAGCAGGAATGTTAAGCAAATGTTAATTCATAGTAACTGTTAAAATCTCTATCCAAGATAAATACTACAGTATGTGCATGCTTCCCTTTCAACATCACTGATGTGGCCTAGAATTTTGCAAAATGTTTGTGAGGTCTGACATACAAGAAAGCCCCGAGTTTTACTGTTTGCTCAGGGTTATTTTGAGGTTGTAATCAGAGAATATGCTGGCCCCAGCCTCACAACAGGAAGCATGTCACATCCTGTGCACTTAGACACCAACCACAGGTTTAAATCTAGGAAAACACATACACACACACACACACACACAGACCCCCATGTAAACCAATCACTAATCACTGGTCAGCACTGTTGCCTAAAAAGGGAGGAACCTCTGAGCAGGACCCTACACAGTTGAGTGGTTCTTGCCTGAGCTCATGAAATGACACACTGGCTTTACCTCTTTTCTCTGGGCGTCTCAGTCAAGTTGAATGTTCTCTGCTCTGTAATCGACAACAAGGACAAGCATATCAGTATGCCAGACATAGATGTCAATACGGTGCATAGATCCAAAGTGAATCAGCAGAGAGGGTTAAAAAATCTTCCCCATTTAAAATTGAGTCAGAAACTAATATAGAGATCATGGAAAGAGTCTGGAGCCAGCAAACCCCTACAGAGAAAGAACAAACACAGCAGCAAGTCTTGCCTCGAAAAACCAGATGATAGCAACGATGGAAAAAGGAAAAAAAACAAAGAGGAGAAACGCAACATGTACCCAAATGGAAGAATAACAAAAGCTTCAGGACAGGAACAATTCTGCTATTAGATGATCTAAAGGAGATCTTCATTCTTCCAATGCCCCAGTCCTCTTTTGCTCAGTCATTTTTTCTATAAGGCAGGAGAACTACTATTTTATTACAAAAAAAAATCTTAATTAGTTTTAGAGAAAACTGTGCATGTAAGTGTACCAAAAATTAAATCCCACAGAAGATGCAGAGCTGCACAATTTATGCAACAATGACAAACATGTTTTTTGTTTGTGTGAAAATATCTGGAAAAATCCTTTTACAACACAAAGTGTAGTAAAATGATTTTGCTTCTCACGAGTTCCTATTGCAGATTTTTCAGCTTTGCATAAATATACTTTTTACAGTGTGTCATAAAAAAGTTTATAGATACCAGATATGAATTTTAATTGTGCAGCCCTGCCCCATGGTTCACCAGAAAGAGACTGAAATGTTTTTTTCCGACCAGCCCGTAGTATTCAAGCTGTTGCTCGACGTCTTTCTTGTACTTACTAACTTGGTTGAGACGAGATAGGGATTTAGAAAGAGATAAAGCCTGAAGTAGAGAACGACCGCTGCTGTTGAATGCTCCATCTACACAGGATAAAGCATGACCTTTACTTACAAACACCCTCACAAGCAGATCTATTCTGAAGCAAAGCTGACACAGATATACTTCATGGAGCTTCAGCTGATTTCTGACACCTGTCTGGTCTTCCCACTGTTGAACATGTGGCACATTTGTCCATTCAGCTGCCTCTTGGGAACTATCGGGGCAAAGGGGGCAAAGTTCACTCACCTTCTTCCAAATCAGTGATTGTTGCATCGCGGTTTAGCAGTGGCCGTGACGGCTTTGCTTTAGGGGAGGAGTAGGAGTAGGAGCGAAGACGGACCTCAGCCTCCTCTGGGCTCTAGGTGGGAAAACAAATCACAACAGTAATTAGAAGTTCACAGATTCAATCCTGTGAACAGCAAAATCAGAGTGCATCAGAAACCTGCAGGACAAACAGACCAATAGACTCTGCCCTTTCGTCCATGTTATTGAGCTGTTTATAGTCTGGGCTTATTTACTAAAGATTGTAAGGTAAAGCTGTCTCTTTTGTAATGCTTAGCATACACTGTATGACATGGGTTTTTCATTTTTTCCTACTGAAAAATTGATGATTAATTAAAAAAAAAAAGAAGACAATCAAGGAAAATATTCAAATGGAACAAAAACTGTGTCGAGGATATTATGGTGACTTAATAAGACACATTTTTAATTCATAGTTTATACAAGCTTATGATAATGTTTTGTGAACCAGAAGGGAAGGGGTATACCTTGGTTGATTTGTGCGTGATGTCGGATTGCGCACGACTGAAATCTGGAGAAGCGTCAAAAGAGTCTCTCTCTTCTCCTGAGCTAGAGCGCAGAGTGGACTGTTGCCTTATAGATGAGGATGGGTAGGAATGTCCCAGTATGTCCTCCTCTCCACTGTCACACTCTAGACTAGGGCTGTGCACAATCATACACACACACGGATTTAAACACACACGTGTCTAGGTTAAGGTCCTGTCATTCGCTAAAAGTGACTGACTGTTAATACTTTACTCCACATTATGTTAAGAACAAAATAAAACTGGCTATAAAGATTTACTTAAAAATCCTACTGACAGTGTAACTCTTGGCATCACACATTCACATTTGCAGAATATAGTTGGAGACAAACTGTATTCCGACACCTATCATAAACCAGAAAAATGTGCAGAACCATAACATCACCTATTCTGATTGAAATACTAATAATAAAGTGTGCAAGGACCATAACATCACCAGCTGCTCAGAAGCTCAAGTAGGAAGGGCAAGTTTTAATTCTAAACTGCAGCATTCCACAAAATAACACACTGGATCCTGATGAGCTGTAATATTTTGCAGATGGACCTCATGACCTGTGAATCAGCCCATCAACCATTGATTTTCTACCACTTATCCAGGGATGGGTTGCAGGGCAGCGGCTTAAGCAGTGAAGCCCAGCGCTCCCTTTCCCCAACCATCTCCTACAGCTCTCATCCACAGAAACCCAAGGAGTGTTCCCAGGCCAGCCAAGAGACATAATCTCTGCAGCGTGTCCTGAGTCTACCTTGGGGCTTCATTTCAGTACGACATGCCTGGAACACCTCATCCTAATCAGACGTGGAGGACTAGTGGTTCTACTCTGATTCCCTGCCAAATGACTGAACTTCTCACCCTATCTCTAAGGCTCGAGCCACTCTTCACAAAAAAATCATTACAGACACAAGAAAACCTGTATCTGGATTCTCATTCTTCCATTCCAAGAGACCTTCAATTCCCACCTCCAGCATTCCGAGGGAAGTGGGGATATTGAGTCTGAATGAAGGAGTCCTTTACTTTTATGGCGCTGCTGTTTATGGCATCCGCAGACTTAGTTAGCTTGTGGGATGCCGGAGGCAGCTGACAGGTAGGTGGCAGTAGGTGAAGAAAAATTTGGGTGCGGGAGGAGTCCATTATGTTCAAATCAAACATTGATGTTGACAGTTCTTTTGCCAGACTCTGCATTGCTAAGAAAAATGAAGCAATGTTCAGCAACTTCAGCATGCTTCCTGCCGCTTTCCACACCTTCACTTAAAACAATGCAGGGGAAAAAAATTATCTTGCTGAAATTCCAAGCAAACTGGAGTCTGCTGTCTTTGTATGGATTAAATGGAAGACTGCTTATCATCCAAGTCAACAAAACCCCACAACACACTTCACAACACACAGTCTGTTTGACCTGCTCCCCTCAGGCAGGAGGCTCCGGTCCATTCGCACCAGAACCTCTCGCCATAAGAACAGTTCCTTCCCCTCTGCTGTTGGACACATGAACAATAACCGTATGACTGTTCCCACCACTAACACATGACCCTATGCTGTGTTCACTGCATCATTCCATGTTTGGCACTGATCACCACCTGCACTCATGTATATATCGATCTACTTAGCACTTTTAATTCTTATTCTTATCTTTATTTTCATGTCTATTTTAGCGTAATTTATGACAGTATGTCTGCACTGAAACACTGCAGCAATTTCCTAATGTTGTAAACCTGCCCAACATTTGGCAATAAAACCCTTTCTGATTCTGATCTGATTCTGAAGTGGGTCGGAGTGATCTTTAACATAATCTCAATAGAAGAAATAGTCTAAACCTTTTCAAGAATAACTGCAATTGTGTCCTACCTCAGGCCTCGGCTTGCCTCTGTGAAGCTGCATCCTCTACGACTCAAAGAAGGAGAGCGTGGCAAGCCTGTCTGCGGCTGACGCTTGTGTGCTTCCTCAAACAAACGGAGGGCGGAAGCCAGGGGCGAGGAAGGAAAAGATGGGGAGGAAGCGAAAGGACAGGGGGGGGAGACAAGAGGGGACTGCTCTCTGTGGTTCTCCAGGCCAGAACCTTGGATTCCCCTCAGCCTGTTGTGGGGTGACGATAGGCACCGGCTCTGGGAGCTGTTCCCTGAATTAGGGGGAGTCACAGAGAACGAATCCCAGCTGGAGCTGTCAGCATGAGATGCAGGGCTGACCTCCTCTTCCCCTGGAGAGCGGTATTTAATGTCAGCATCGTCCACCTGGAAAAGAAAAGTGAGAATGCAATGAGACCCCAAACTGTTCCACCAGATGATTTGCAGCTCATCCAGTGAAACGATTCACATCTTATGAGCAAAGTCTGTTGTTCATGCGCTGTTCTAAATTATATCCCTGTCGTAAACTGCATTTTACCTAATGACACTGTATAGAAAAACTTGAGCAACTCACCTGATCCACCAGCATGGCGTTGGCATACACTTGGTCTTTGCCGTGTATCATCGCTGACAGTCTGGCAGCTGCAGCCAGTGTTGGAGACGAGGCCTGGCTCTCCCTTATGGACTGGCTTTTCTCTACAGAGAGAGAAGAATGCACAGAGAGCCGGGATTTTTCAATATTACATTTAGTTTCCACAGCAACACCAAATAACTTCTCACAAACACGGGAAGTGACATAGACATCCTGGGCAGTTGCTTGTCATTGTTCAGGACTAAGAGTCTCTATATGCGTTTGTGTGTGTATGAGTGTGTGCATGTAAGTGTGTGTGCATGTGTGTGCCTCTATCTGAATGGCTCTTTGCACACACGCGTGAAAGGGCGTGCACGGAGTCGAGAGTACACATCTGTAGGCTTGTTTCTTCTCCACCCTGCCTTCGATGCAGTGGGTGAGTGGAAATAACTCCTGGTGAGCACACAGTAGCATTGAGAGGAATCCTTTCAACACAGAAGAGCCACTGTGAGCAGCAGCCTGGTTTTACTGTTAAACGGGGAAAAACACTCCTGCTCTCAAAACACGCAAAGCTCCCTCTGGGATGTTGCTCTGTATAAAGCACACACACTCTCCACAACTCAGTTTCTTATGAAGTATTTCAGGTTTGAAAATAACCGATTCACATAAACAAAGAAGGTAAAAGTTACCAGTAATACTACACATAACAATAAACCTTTGGGCATATTATCTTTTAAGAAAGTTTAAATGCTCTATACAAACTAGTTCTTTACTAATAACAACAACAATAAAATAGTCATTATTTATAGAGTACTATTAAAATGCAACTTAAAATGATACTGGCAGCAAAATAAACACATAGGTCATAAAATCATAATTTTTTACACACAAAAAAATGTATATAAAATGGTTAGCATCAGATAAAAATGCTCAAAAGCTATAAAACAGCTAGAAATCAGGTGAGACTGAATAGTCAGCTGCTGCTTTTAATGTGAAAAATAACCACAGTAACAATTATTTTCAAACTTACTTGCGAATTCTGACTGCTCATAAAAAATCTCTATTAAACACTAACCAGGTACACTGACTTTACTTTTTTTAATATAGTTTTTTTTACTGCTACTAGATAACCATCAGCAAAATGTGTGTTTCTGCCAGTGTTAGGTAATATTACTTTTAAAAGTAAAATGCTTAACAAGCTACAAGATTATTGTTTTACTTTCTGTTAACTTCCTCAAAGTGAAGGTTTCTCTTTTCTATGCCATCTCGCTAGGTGAACTACACATGTGCACAAGTAGCAGGAACAGGACAAAAAGAGCACAAATGTTTCAGCGATTGCCTTTTTTGATTTCAAAGCATCAAAGTGAAAATGGGACGTACAGTAAAATGATTGGTTAATCGCCAAAGTAAGTCAATTTATGATTACTTGAACTGCGAAACTACCACCATTACATTACATTACTTGTTAACAAAAGAAAAAAAGTCATCAGTCTGAAGAAAGAAAACTTGTAGAGGAATTTACATTAAGCTGAAGATTCAACAGAAAAATCTAATCACACCAGCAGCTGGTGCATTTCTGGTCGTAGTAACCAGAAGAGGAGGTCTCATTAGCACAGTTACATTATTAAGCTAATAATGACATTCTCACCTTGCCGTGACCGAGCTTTGCCTCCAACAGTGTCTTTGGCACTGCTGTTTTAAATCTCAGCTCATCAAGCAGTTATTAAAGCAAGACTCAACATTCTTCTTTTAAAGTAAATCAATAGTTTATCCATTGTGTCCAAGCTGCCAGCACTGCAGAATAATAATAAAAAAGGCATTCAGCAACTGTAACAGTGAATAAATCAAAGAAGAAACTGGCTGTGCTTCCTATATGCTGCAAGTTAGATAAATATGAGAGGCAAGAGGGAGCTGAGCTAACACTGATGAGGACACCAGATGATTCCCATTACATCCATGTTAAACATAAACGAATTAACCGAAGTTTAAGTACTGCAGCATATACAGAGACGACTGCACATCACTCCAGGACAGCCAAAGTTTTTATATCTCTCAGCGAAATTCTTACATTTTTACAACCTGATTCTCCATTGTTAAAAATGTCTGGATTCTCTTAGTTTCACCTGAAGAAATTATACTGTATATGAACCTCAAACCAAATTCACTGTACCTGCGCAAAGTCACATAAAACTTTCTGCTATGTAGAAAAGGATTCGTTTTAGTCCAACATCAAATCCACAGAATGGGGTTAGATTCTGGATGTGGGTCAAACTGCTGTTTGAAAGCAGATATAATTTCATATAAACCTACTTTAGGGACTTGACAGACAGACCTAATAGTTCAGGCTCTGGGCAGGGTCCAAAGCCACAGCTGGCTGCTGTGGCCTCAATCATTCACACACCTCTGACCCATAAATTCTGGCTCAGTGAACATTACTGTCGGGCAGTGTGATCTGTGTTTAACATTAGTTAACTGGGGGAATAACAGAAGCAGGGTGTTCATATTGCCAACAAGTTACAAAAGCAAAAAGTAATTCGTCCTGCTGGAAAAGCTGTCTTTATTCCCGAGGCAGAGTAAGCAGTCAATCAGCTGTGACTTGAAAGGGGATGTTTTTTTTTTAAAGAAAAGCAGAGCAGTATGCGGATCTATTTATGTAGGATTTCTGCTCGCTAAAAGTAAAGCTGAAGTGATGTGATATTCAGAGCATGTCCCTTAGTGAGAAGCAACCGTATACAGTAGCAATGCCTAAAGTAGCAGCAGCGAGAAAAACAGAGACCGAGAGAGACTCTATAGCAAAACAGACAAAGACAGCAGTCAGTGCCAGGTTTCCAGACCAGGGCAGTTAAACACAGAGAGTGACCCTTCAACCCATGCACACCCCTGGGAGAGGGAGACCGAGGTAGGCAGGATGAAGAGGAGGGGGAGGCAGCGCAGCCACAAGGCTTCTTTCTCAAGGTTCACTCCTTTTAGAAGCTGTAGGGCAAAACATAAAATTCAAGATAAACATACAATAACAATGATTAATCGTATAAACACCTAGGCTTGCTTATTATAATTATAAATGGATTATTTGTTCATGCTGTTCCTTCTTTTATGATGTAACTTGCTTTACAAGGACCACACTAAACAGCTGTCACTTTGATGAGAGCTGAAAGTAAAATAACAAGCCAAGTCTCAAAGAATCACAACAGGAGGTCTTATTACCTTATAAAAATAGGGGAGGCATTTATTTAACTTTAGTGTTCGGGACTTTTAAATCATTAGAACAATTGTCCACCAACATCCACAAAACCACTCTGAGTTATGACACCTGTGGTCAAACATCCCAATCCAAGCATCACAGGCCCATTGTATTTACAGGAAAAGGTGAAGCCAGAACGAGCCGTGCAACTCTCAGAGCAAAGAAATAAACGTCTGTCTGTGCGCACCTGAAATCACATTTCACTTTGCAGGTGTATTATTAGACCAGAAAAAAAAGAAAGTCGAAATCGAGTAGAAGCAGTTCAGTTCAAAAAGTTGATGCAGTGCCACCGTTTCTGTTCCTCATTGAGAGAGCATGGGCCAGCAGTGTGTATAAAGCTAGCCTGTGTCAATCACCATTACAAAGCAATAACATAGATAATCTTGCAGAGGTTTATGGTGAAAGATGAGGAAAAGACAACTGGAGCTGAGCCATGACACAGCCGTGGCAGTAACATAATCTTTCCCCGTGTCTGTCTCTCTGATCCTAACTCCCTCTCTCTTTCTCGCTTCTCCCAACAAACACAGAATCACTTGTACATAAGCAACGGACTGTTTAACCACTCTGGTTTAATCATGCACTATTTTTAGCATTTAATTTAACTCTCCCATGACTAACAATGAAATAACAAGTTTTTATGCCAGGATGAAGTATTAACCAGATTTTGGTTCCGTGCCTGATAATAAACCAATACTCAATTCAATCACAGTCACTCTTTCACTGACACCTAAACAACCAATTAGAGCTATCAAGTGCAGTTCCCTGAGGCTAGGGATATGACCGCACATATTAAACAGTGGGCCTCCCATTTGCACTGCAACCTAGCAGTCACATGAGGCCACGACTTCTCAGCAGGGTTTAGATGCACACAACAGTTTGAAGATGGCGAAAGCCCCAAACCACTCAATCAGCCTCGAGTGGACATCTGACATTCCCCAACATACTGTCAGGTATCAGGTTACATCACTGGTAAACATGCAGTTAGCTCTCTCTGACAGACTCGGTGCTGCAGTGGATGTCTGTGAGTAAGAGTGTGTAATGGGAAAAGTCTAATTTTAACTTTATTGTTCCACAGTGAATGGTGAAACATGCCTGCCAACAGGGCATTTAGAAGTTAAGTCCTGAGTTTGCCAGAAGAGCTGCCTAATCTGTGTTTAAAAAGTTAACATTTTTCACTTAAAAATGATTCCACATGTTTTTCCAAATCTTTTTTGTGTCTGTCAAACACTGCAGACATCAACATGTCAGAAATGTGTTTTAAGGACGTCAATGACAGTGAAGTGAAAAGTGAATTAAGATTTGTGGACACTCACAGAACTATACCTGTCAAAGCGACAGAATAGCAAAACTACTTTTAAATATGGTTTTTAATGCTGCGTTACCTTTTTTCCCCATCTTCCGGCGCATCCTCATCTTGGGAAAAGAAGGCCAGGAGTAGTTGAAAGGGCAGTCGGAATCAGAGTCCATGAGTTACGATCTTATAGAAAATCTTCATCCGAACAGTTCGATGTGTGTGATGAATAAATGAGCAGTTACGTCTATTCCCACATGGCTGAACAGACTGCGGACTAGCTGTAGCACTCACTCTCCTTTTTTTTCCCGGAGCCCTGCTGCAGACACTCTGACACTTCAGGAGTGAGCCAGCATGTTCCCCTCTGTCTCCCCCAACCACCCCTCCCCCTAAACTACTCCCCTTCCCCCTCCACAGCTCTCAACCAACTGTCCAGCAGAGCCGGGGCTGAACTCTTTCTTTTTGAGTTTCCTCTCTGTCTGCTCTTCTTACATCTGAGCAAACTTTTAGGTAACTAAGTCAGTCTCTGCCTTCTTTGCTCATATACCACACACGGTCATGAGAAAGAGGGAGCGAGATATACACATGCTGACAGCAACAGAGGGAGGAGGGTATTGACAGCTGAAAGGAGGGACTGAGGAAGGGAGAGAAACAGTCAAATATAGGAATGACTTTAGAACCGGCAGCGAAGAGAAACATGAAGCCAGACTGCTTATTGAAAGTGAGTCTCAGACATGATAGAAATCATTAACCCTGTGAGTCCATAACTGTCTCGGAGAGATACCAGGCTGCATAGCTGAACACTACCCAGTTAAAAGCACTGGCAATTCATCCCAAATATGCCTAATGCCATCTGAAGAGAGTCCTTCTCAATCACTCCATTCTCTCGTTCTCTATATTTTAGCATGTCAAAGCCCAGCTGAGAGGGGAGGAGGGACTGCCAGGTTAGCAGCTTCTCCATGGAGACAGCACAGAGAGCTGCTGCTGTTTTCTTCATCCATGTTTCCTCCTCTTGCCAAACTGCAGGAGTACAGTGCTCCAATTGCATCAGCACAGATACAAGTGAAGATCAGCAAAAAGGATGGTAAAGAGGATTTACAAGACAAACTGGACAATGGCACTGTGAAAAGAGGTCAAGCATGGGTTTACAAATGCACATAAATGAAGGAATGTGAAAAACAGAGAGAGAGAAAGGAGATGAGATGGGTTTTGCAGGCAGAATATACGCGAAGAGTAGAAAAAGAGGTACACTGTGACTATAGAAAGTTTCTGTGTATGTGCATGGGGAGGGGTGATGGAGGGTGTTGGCACCGGGCTAGTGAACATTAATGCTGCCTTTGTGGGGTCTGTGTGAGGTTTAATCCTTTTTTCCATTCTCCAATTAGATCCCACAGTCGGGGTCGCAGACTCTTCTCTGCGCTCCTGGTGCTGCACTTATCGTTTGTTGACACCCTGCCAAACTATCCATATCATAAATCCCTTTCTCTCACAGTTTCCCCCCTATTACACACACACACATAAACACACACTGCTTTAACACTCCTCTGCTCTCCTTTCCCTGGAGATCTCAACAAGCTGCTGGAAAACTGCATTCAGCAAAGCCCTGGCAACCCCCATTCAACCACAAACACCCCCTTTTTACTTCCCTATACCCCTGTCCCACTCAGAGCACTCTTCCCTACTGAATTCTTCCAATCAAATACACAAGTGAACACACACGCACACAGAAACTTCTTCCCTCTCCTCAACTGTGGAGGAGAGCAGCGCTCCTCGGGATGAAGTGGCCTTTGCTATTTGTTCGCTAAACTCACATTAAAATGCTGACCTGGAAGGATGTGATGGGGAATGGTATGTGTATTTGTCTGTATGTAGGCATTTGGGTGCAAGAGTGTGTTTTGGGTGGGGTATTTAAATATCGGGGGCATTAGGAAGGCAGAGATGGGAGAATGTGTGACTGAAGAAGACAAACAGTCCTTTATCCCTCTCAAAAAAATCCAAATTATCATATGAATCTTGAAAAGAGTAAAACCTTAAAAAAAAAAAAAAGTTTTCTATGTACATACAGTCATGTCAAATAAGTTACAGTAATCTGAAATGGAGACAGGAAAGATGACATCAAGAAGATAGGGGAAAGATGACAGCTACATTCGAAATTCCTCATCCCTAGCTGAAGCGCTGGATACACAAGTTCTGTCTGTGTACTCGATGACGCATTCGCTCAACGTATGCAGCCATATTGTTAGTGTTAACAAACAGACCAGAATCACAATATAAGCTTCACTACTTCACTAAAAAATGTAAAAACCTTCTAGCCACTCACGATACCTGACAGGCCTGGAATGTTTACTGAAGAATTTAAATTCTTTAAGGGTCAAATGAGCACCTTTATCCCAGAAGAATGGCATGTATGAAACCTGAGTCATTTCCAGTCTGAGCTGTGTTCATTCAAACATAACCCACTGAGGGGAAACTTGTGCAAAACATCATTCAAGTGACCAATATTATTTGATCTGAGCCACAGAAGGTGATTTAAGGGGTCAAAAGAGGGCAGAGGGAGGCAGACATCACAGGCTACACGAAAATGATGAAGAGCTTCCACTCAGCTAACAAACACAGAGAAACATGCACACAGAGGACAAAATGGCTTAACCATTTAGCATGAAAAACTACACTCACCACAGGATGCTAAGATTACAGATGTTCAGTGCCAAGTGTTATAAAGTCTGAAGCCTTGGCTTGTCACCACAGCATTCTTACACTGAGGCATCAGTCTGGTCTGCAGTAATACCAGCCAATTATTAACCCACAGGATGTTCCCACTCTCAAATCCTTCCTCTTGCAATCCAGGAGTACATCAGAGTGAAGCCACCTTCAGCCATTTAGTCAGGAATTGGCTTGGTTTGTTTCTGGCCTCCTGTCACTACTGGCAGAAGCAGGATGACTCAGGATGAAGTGTTCATTAAAAAAGAAAAAAGAAAAAAATCCTGCTCGGTTCAACAATAACTGTAAACACAGATTGACACGACTAAAAAAAACTTCAGGGAGAGGGGGGCAAGACAAGCCAGGGGCCTGAAATGTGATCCTATAGTCAGCGGGGACAGTCGGCAGCCATAGATGATGGTTAGAGTTCCAAGTTCTGTTCAGGAAAGGAAATGTTTCCTGCAGTTTGAACTCACTCAATAATTTGAAGCTACTTGGATAACTTCCTATGAACATAACAGCACCTAAAACAACAGTGATCGATTCCCGTCTGCACAAAAGTTGATGTACCACAAACTCTACAATTAAAACCACAGCTAAAAACGGACTTCTAAAAAAACAAAATTACTTTGAAAGAAAATCTTACCAGAGTCAGACTGTGAAGGCTCGTCTTCTTCGTCCTCCTCATTCAAACAGAACATCAGCGGCTCCTTGTATACTTCGGAGTAGAAACTGGGAACCTTTAACGAAACAGCATGCACATTTCCAGCATACCACAAAAACCGAAAAAAACGAGTAGAACTAAGTAAAAAAACACCAGTGTTTGGCGAGTGCCTAGGTGTGTGAGACAGATCAATTAGTTAACCATCTGTAACACATTAAACTGTTCCTACTGGATGACAAGAATCATGTGCACACACCACACCTCTCAAAACACGAAACACACACTTGACCGCTCACAAAGTCAGCTATTCAGTGGTGTGTGCAAGGTGCCAAATCCAGCACCTTGACAATAAGAGTGAAAAAAAACAAACAACAACTGTGGAGCATTGAGAAGCAGACAATGCTCCACAGTTATTGTAGCAGTGCTTGCCACTAGCTGGTACAGATGTTCATGGAAAGTGAATAAGTGTGTTTAAAATGCCACCTGTAATAACATATTCAGGAAAATTGGAAGGAACGCCTCTTGTTGCACGGAATTTGTCAAGAATATTCGGATCATATTGTAATCCATAGACTTGTACGCATGTGAATCCTTATAAAAATGTTTTACTGCCGTGCGTTAAATACTTACATTCTCTTCAACGGCAGAGTTTTCTCCATTTATGTCAGGATACAGTGCTGAAAAAAAAGACAACATTTTCAGACACAGCCATCAAAACACAAATCGGACAACATGATGGACAATTCCATACACAGTATATAATTTTCTTTTGAGTTTTATCCTTATTTTTATTTGTATTTTATCATTTACATCTGTATTTACGTAAATACGTACACTATAGCTCTTAACTATTACAGCGTAATATTTTGCACGATATTATACATTTTTATACTTTTATATAGATATTTTTTTATTATAAGTCTAGTAAGAAGCACAGTCGGGGGGGGGAGTACTTTTTAGCCGGAAAAAACATTTCACTGTGTGTTGTACTAGTTATAACTACATGTGACAAATAAATAAAGAATTGAATTGAATTGAATCAAACTTCAAAAGAAACACAAGTAAGCACAGATGCTTGCCAGTTTTTAATGATCCCACGTAAACGCAGGTTTTTGTTTTCTTTTCATAAACCTGGGGGATTTATTTATTTTTACTGTGTGGCCTTGATCTCCATTTTCATTTAATTACCATGTTCATCCTAGATCAAAGGGCACGGTGTATGATGGCTTACCAGTAACAAGGCAGAAATACATGGAAATTAGTGTTTGGGTGGTTTGATTAGTGGCCTTGGGTGATGTTGAAAAATGAAGGCAGGATATGTAGCAGAAGTGGCCCATAAAAGATAGATAGGCTGGAACAGAGTTTCAGAGAGAAGAGAAAAAGTAGTGCCAGAGCTTGAGAGACAAAGACAGAGGGACAAAAAAGAGAAGGATGAAATATTTCAAAAATAAAAACAAAACTAGCTCAGATACTGTCAAAGATACTGTCAATCACACTAGTGATGTGGCTTGGGATCTCAGTGGAATATGCCAAATACTAGTGGGTAAACTGCTTTAAAATTCCCTACTTAATGTCCACAGGCCTCATGTAGGGAATTTTTATAAGAATTTTTATGCCATGCTGAGTTTTCCTGTAGCACCAGGAACAGGTCAAAGTTTTTATTCATCTATTTAAATATCCTTAAATATCCACATTTAAAAACAAGGCCTACATCAGATTTGAAGGACTCTTTATTTTACTGAGCTTCCTTTATATCTGCTTGATGAAGTAGTAAATCCATCCTCTACTCTTTATCCAAATCTACCACTGGAAGGAATGATTAAGCAGACTTGCCCAAAACTTCCCACATTTTATTTTATAAACAAAATATCTTCAACTACCTTGTTTTTTAAATGATTATGTTTGATGAGAAATACTTTTAAGCAGAAAGTTTTGAAGTAGACTGTTGTTATTGTTTTTAATTATTTCCCTGATAACTGACTAACGATTGATCATCTATTCAGCAAAGAAATGACAAACCACCACCTTCATACAGTTGACTTGTTTTTTGCCATATCTTTGCAGTACCCACAAAGCCCAGATGAGGGCAGTCAATTTCTACTGAAGTCTGCATGACACCACAGTGTGTAGATTCAATACAGTGAAAAATAGCAAATCATCTCAACATGAAAGAGGAGAGCTAAGACTGCATGGTTTAGTTTAATCAGGCCTCCAAGTCCCACAAATCAGACAGATTGAATGTGTATGATACCACTGTCTGCAGGATCATCCACTAGTTCTTCCTTCCCTAAGATCGTCTCCACCCGCTCCCTCCTTAGTGCTTTGATCTGTAGGAGAAAAAGCAGCATTTAAATCAAAAGATTCGAGAAAGTATTGTATTTATGGGTTTTGATTTTTCTGTTTAGTTAGTTGCACACCTGCTACCTAACCTTAATTTAATAGTACCTTTAAGAACCTTGAACAAAAAAAAAAAAAACATCCTCAACAAAAGCTTAATCTGTAATTTTTTTTGTTTTGCTTTTATATAATTGTAATCAACTACCTTTTTCTAATTTATTCTTGTGTTTACAAATATCACCTTTACAATCTTTACGACCATCATAATATTGTTCTGCTCACCCCTCTGAGGAAGTCCTCATCTCTCAGTCGCTCTCTGAGAAGCAGGATGTCAGCATGTCGGCTCTCCTCCGAGCTCCACCTCAGGTTTTGTCTGACAGTCAGAGTCAGGTTCCCCATGTCATGACAGAACCTAAGCAGGCGAGATCTGTCTGCCCACACCTGGGAAAGACCAGCGGGAGGTGTAGCTAGTGGATTGGGTGGGCTGCAAAACAACAGAAAAAAATATTAGGCATTAGGGTTGATATTTCGAATACTGTTTTTACTATTTTCCCAAACGTCTTTAACATATTGCATATCACATTTACTGTCATTAAGTGCATATGATCTGGTCTTGTAGGCAAAATAAATTAACCTGTAAGGGTGTGGATCCAGTTAGAGGTGGAGTTTTCAGGTAACACAAACAGGTGACATATAATAACAAAATGCACTTCATCACTTCAATATAATCACAGTATTTTGGAAATTTAGAAATGGATGGATAGGATAATAGCAAACATAAAACTGGGTTGTGTATATAGTTGAAGGAAAGTTTTCCCTTAGTGTGGAGCTGTCATGGTTCTGGGTCCGTTGGACCCAGCAATTGAGTTCATTATGTTTTCGTTTACTTTGGCATCATGGATTATTCTTCATGTTTCTCTGGTACTTTGTGTTTCAGTTATCTTGGTGTTTTGTTTTCTCATTCTCTTGTTGTGATGATGATGATGTTTATTATTAGAGTTTCATGTTTCTGTTATCCATGTTTTAGGAATTGTGGTTTCATGTATTATTTTCTGTCCGTGTCTTTTAGTAGTGTTTCCTGTTTTATTGTGGAAGTCGTTGTCTTAGGTTAGTGTGTGCAGCTTTGTTCCCCCCTGTCTCGTTAGCCCTGATCTCTCCCAGCTTTGTTTCCCTCCTGTTGCCCATTCCCTCATTACTACCCTGTGTATATAAGCCCTGTGTTTTCCCATGCTCTGTGTCGCGTCGTACCCTCAGAATTTTATCACCAGCAATAAAGCTAAGGTTCTCAGTTTCAATTCAGTCTCAGAGTCTCGCATTTGGATCCTCCTCTCCATCCGCCTGCACACAGAGCCCTGACAGGAGCACAGGAAACTTCTACCCTGAATACACAATGTTTTATCAAAACAGTCATTCATTTGTCAGAGTCTCTCCTGGAAGCACCTCGTTAAAGTTTATAATCTTACTTGGAGAGCAGCTCCAACAGTTCAGTGTTGCCTGCTGTCTGTGCCAGCTGCAGCGGCGTGACTCCATTTTCGTTTGGCAGATTGACAGCCATCAAACCCCCAGGCTGGCAAAGCAACAGCTCTGCAAGTCGACACATACCCCATCGAACAGCTAGGTGGAGGGGAGACTCTCTGGGACAGTGCTCTGGAGAATAGGGAGAAAAATATATTACAATTTTAAAAAATGACATCTCTGAAGACATGAAAGAATGCAGCGGGATCCAAGACAACTGCTTAACCAGGAGGAAACTAGCATGTCAGAAATCTGGATAACCGTCTAATTAGGATAACTATCTGAACTGTCACTAACTGATTTCTATTCTTACACAGCACTGGATCCCTCTGGTCCACTGACCTATTTTAAGGCAACAGAAGCCTTTTAACAAGATCGTGACAACAGACAGTCTACAAATGTGACGACTTCTTAGATTTGTGTCTGCCATTTAATGCAGTCCGACAAGATTTCTATCTGTACCAGATAAAACTGCTCCAGCCGAAAAACATTTTACTCTCTAACAAGTTTTTTTTTAATCTTATTACTATACCTTAAAAGAGAGAATAAGTTTACATTAAAGTACGTTAGTTAACTCCGATATAAATTACAAACGCTGTCTGAAAAGAATAAATTGCAGGAAAAATATACAAATATAACAGAAGCAACACTTGGTATCACTTAAAATTGTCATCTCATCATAAAAATGGTAGTTTTTTTTTTTACATTGTGATACCATACAGTTTGCCCTTTTTACTGTAATGGGTAGCTGTGTAAAGATTAAGAAATACCCGCAGGATGATGAGAAATGAGTCAAGCTCTGTGCAAGAGCACTTAAACTTCAAATAATTCAGGACTGTATCACCTTTTCAGAATCACAATATTTCTAAGCTGACAACTAGGGTATTTCCCTTTACAGAGGATAAAACATACTTTAGAGAAACTAAACTGAAACTTCAGTCCCAAAAGTAGAAATAAAGAGAATACACCTGTGACTTCCAGTTATACTAACTAAAGAAAAGGTTTTTATAAAAGAATCAGAATGGTCCCATGTTTAGTTTTTCTCTTCCTTTTATACTTTGATGTTTCTATCACGATGCATAAGTGCATCATGGATTTACATGGGTTCACACTGAAATAAATTACCAGCGAAAGTAAAACAAAAAATAATTATTTCAAGATTTTATACTTTTAAAAGAAGAAATAGTAAAAACAATAACTAAAAATATCAGTTTTTATATACTTGTAGAAGTAATGAGAATGAGTCACAGTACAACTAATTAGGCTGCTGTGAGCTTCCTCCTGAAATAATGCCAAAGACGGTGCATGATGTGAAGAATCTAGCTTCATAAAACAGACAGGAAGCGCTTCGTACTTAGCATAAGGCTTACCAATTGAAATCTTGAGTTTTTGTGACAGCTCATTCAGTATGAAGAACATTGCATAACAACCTCTGTGGAGAGAGTCCAAGAAAAAAAATGTCCTGGCTTGCTGTTCAGCACATTGCTGCAAGATTAAACTTTGCTAATGAACATGAAAAGGTGCCTGACGAATACTGGGTGAGATACATTTTTACAGCTCTGACTGGGTGCAGCATGAACTTGGCCAGGACTACCAGAGTAAATACACACAGAAGAACCATGAGCTGACTGTTGTTATGAATTGGTGCTATAAATACAATATATAAATAAAACTGACTTGAATTGAAAAGTTGAAATAATGAGGCACAGAGGTGACAGTGTGGCGAGTGCAAAAGATGTCAGGAGATGACTTATAGATGGAGCCATTAATGTCTGAAAATTAACCAGAATGCTTCCTAATAAAATGACTCCTAATCTCCAGAAACCTGTCAGGAGAGGTGTACTAGGCTTTATCCTCTGACAAAAATCCAAAGTTCAATGACTGAATCAGTAAAGATTCTGAAGACTTGGTCAAGTGTGTTGCCACCTAAATCCAATAATAACATGTGAAGAGAAAGGCAGAACAAAACAACCTAAGAAAGAACAGCTGAAAAAGAATGACAGAATCTCTCTCCAAAAATGTGCAACACTGGCATCCATGCCAGGATTTAGTGCATATTTGAAAAGTAGGGTGGACAGAAGACATACTGTAAAAATAAAAATGCAAATGTCATGAAAGCTGCACTGACTACTACTGACTGTACTGACTTCCTACTGTGCAGCTTCTATTTTTAATATAATGAATACAGCCATGTGAAGAACAAACAGCTTTCCATGCAGTCCTGTGAAAGACTAAGGCCACACTTGTTGCTTCCATAAGAACTAAGAGAGTGTGTAACAGTCAGGTGTGACTGATAAAATGCACTTCATTAACTGATCATCAGCAACTGTGAACAACGACAGACGTTTTGGCATTTTGCAGGTCCGGAGCATTGAAATGCACGTTAATACAACGCTACAATTTTTCTAGTATGCTCAGTTTAAGAAATGTTCTCAGGAAGAACATGATTACCTCCAGTGTCATCTTTTGTCTTTGTGACAGTAACAAGGATTTGTTAAGATGTTCCAGTGCTTTTAAATTTTTATTGAAAGCACTGCATGCAAACAGTGAGTACTTAGGAGATTCGGGGATTGATCATTGAGCTGTATTAAGCATCGGCAATAGAATGATGTCATAAGCAGTGTTATCAAATTAACTGCAGACATTTAGAGAGAGACGTTGCAATGAAACAGACTGCCATAACTATATTACAGCTAAATCTAGTTTGTTATTTATGTAGGTGGCCCTACACAAACACTCAGATCATACAAACAGATGGTGGCATCTAGTAAACTTGGTGGTCAGCACACACACAGGCCACACGCAAACACACAAACACATGCTCGCTCAGATTTATTGAGCTCTGCCTAGGGCTACTTCCAGATGGAAAGGCTCTATTAACCACATTACATGCTGCTTAATTGGCTTTGATGAATTTAACAGAGGAACACGTTGGACCATGTTCACTTCCGATTTCAGCCTGGTGAGCATGGAAAATGGGAATAATGGCTGGGGAGAAGGTGGGCAGAGGGGTTGCAGAGTTGAAGAGTTCAACCTCCTGGTATAGTTACCAGGACAGTGCTGAGTGATGCATTATGACAAAGGCCGTCAGCTACATTTCTAATCTATAGCTGTCCTCTTTTTTGTTTTTTTGTATGAATAAACGTGTACATAATTAAATATATTATCCTTGTCTGTAAATCCACTCTTTAATTAAAACCCCTCCCTCTAACATGACATTTTCCAAGCTACAACTTTGTTTGGATAAACAGAGTGTACCATTTTAAGAATTTTCAATTTTTTGTATTTTTAAATACATTTTTTCATGAAATAAAAACTGCATTTTATGTGTCTTTGATAAGCATAACTGTGTAGGAATCCCTGTTCTGCAAGATAAGACAGTGCAGCTCTCACCGTCTCCACTGTGGCTCCCGAGTACATTCCAGTTTGGGGGGATATCGAGGTTAGCCATAGCCAGGGCCACTCGGTGATCCATAGCCCAATGGGAGCTCTGCTGGCCCAGGTTGAAGAGGCTGCTCAGCTCGTTGTGATCCGTGGAGTTCAGACAATGTCCATGGATTACCAGGTGCTCTGCGAGGTCCTGTAAGGGTGCCAGTTGTGAATAAGATACAATCAGGTGTAACTGAAGAGCTCTACAAAACATTATTTTCACTGCTGCCTTTGTATTGGAGCGTTTCCCATTCCAATACAAAAATGTCAGTAGAATTCTTATCAATTATATATGAACTAAAAAGCACGTGCACAAGAAAAAACTGTATTAACATGTAATTTTTACCACAAGCACACTTTTTTTTGGCTTTTCTTACCTGAGCATCATCATGAACATACTCTAATGAAGCCTCGCCTACCCAGGTGAGAGGTATAGTTTCAGAGCACAGGTATGCCTGGACAGAAACCATCTCTGCCAGATTATGGCCTAAGCAAGCACAACAAAAGTTATATTTAACATCAGTTAAATAAACAATATCTTTTTATATGGTGGAACAAAAAACTCCAAAAGTTACAGATTTTTTTGTTCAAACTGTGTTTAATAAACAGAAATAGAAGCCCAAAAGGGTGAAAGGAAATCTATCAAAAGGATTTATGGTTTGTGAGTCAACACTACAAAAACACACTATGGTTACAGGGCTTTAAGAATGCCTCCAAGCCCTTGGATATGTTTGAGTATCAGCTTTTCTTTTTGGATGCTAACAAAGGCACTTTTTGTTTTCTGCATTTCTGCATTGAGTTAGTATGTTTGAGAGTGCAAAGCCTGCAGGACTGCCTGTTGTTTGAGTCAACCTACACAGAGGCTCAGTAATAATGACATATTGTTCATGGAGCTGTTTCACTCCTATGTGGAAGCTGCTAAGATTCTGCACCCTGTCAGACCTCAAGCCACTGTAGGGACATGTTTATGTGTAAGCCAAATTCAAATACATACTTCTTTTAGGTATTCTGATATATAATCGGAAGTGAAAAAGTGGAAAAACATGGGATTGCTAGAATATACTAATGTTTGACGATGGCTTCGTAAAATACCAAAATACGGCATTAGACATGAGAACACAAAATATTGTGCAAAAATCCTAAAGCACCCGTCATTTCTTTACATTTTGCTTCCAAAGAGCCAAACTTTCATGTAATTTTTATGAGTTTTCTTTAAGCAATAGCTTCAGGATATCCAAATAAGTCAAGGACAAAAGAAGTGGAAGGCCTAAAAAACAAACAAACATTAAAATGGAGGAACACTATCTGAAAACCATGTTAAGAAATAGGAAGAAAAAAAATTGAGCAAAGTTGTGACACAGGATCCGAGAGAAGCATCTTGTTATTCAGTTGATCTAAGAAACCATCCGAAGGTACTGAAACAGTGAGGAAACTATATTTCCATGTATGTTCGCTGTATGTATTTCTAATTTTCCTAGGAAAATACAAAGAAATAGAGGGTGATTTAAGACTTTTACACAGTCTTAAATCACTGTGTAATTTACATCAGAAAGTCATAAACATACCGGGCACAATAAAGCAGAGCATGACATCACTGTGAGCCCTGGTGACATGGATCAGTGTGGATCCTTCCAAAACAATGTAAACCTCTGCATCTTCTGGCGCAGAGTCAAAACCATCCAGCAATGCAAATACCTTTGCTTCGCCCTGGGATAAATGAAGGTGGAAGAGGTCGAGAGGAAAAACAAAGAAGAAAGACGCTACCGATCAAAAAAATACATCTATTGTTAAGTATACAGGCTCATTTTAGAGCAAGACTTTATTCTGATTCTGATGTTCTAGATTTCTGTAAAGTACACAAAATCCCCTGATAGCATTCCTCTCGAGGGTACAATAAACCATCCCTCCTCAATAAAAACAGGAATGCCTTAGCGCCTCCTCAAAGACCTGTCCTGATCCAGACAGGCTACAAGACTTTAGATTTCTCATTTAAGGCAAAAGAAAGAATGATACAAATAAAAATAATAAATAATAATAATAATAATAAATAAATAAATCGACTAGTACACATCTAAAAATAAGACATCCTATAACTGTTCTGTTAATTATATTAAAACAATACAAGTCTTTAAGGATCCCAGAAATCTGATTTGCTGAGACCTTGAGGTTTTATATATTGAAATAATATTTATGTTATATTGAAAGCACAAGCTATTCATTTTTTTAACTTGTCAGCCAAAAAGTGGCAAGCTGTTCATATGGCAATTGTGAGAAAACAGCTGCTTATTCACACTTTCAGTAAATATAAACAACACTAGCATTTAATCAGTCTTCTTAGTAACCACTTGAGAAAGTCTAGCACTCACTCTTTACTCACAAGTACATATAAATACATCCACTATGTTCTTTGGCTAGTTGCTACTTTTTGCAGTCTCCAAAGTTTTTCAACAGATTTCTGCATCTTTGCACATTTCTGGGTCCATGCTGTTGTCTTCATGTGATGCTTCCACTTCGAACACGTGGTTATAACTAATGCAACCAAAAGATTTCAAGTATAAAGGCTGAACATGAACTAGCTTCACTAGCTACAAAATAAAAGCTTCCCAGGCTAGTTGTCTTTTAACAGAGCTGCTGCTTTTTCACCACCATCCAACAGTCACAGGGGAAGAAATCTATTGTAGACAATATCAATTTGTCCACCTACAGTGGCCTCAATAGACCAGTGTATTGAGGCCACAAGACATATTGTGTGGGTTATTCTTGGAAACCTATCAAAAGACTGACTGAGGCGGGAGTAGAGGAACAGGCCTGAGGCAAAAAAAGCTGCAGCCAAAATGTAGGTCCTAAAGGTAAGGTTTACCGTGAAATGCAATATACATTACAGATTAGTGTAGATGGCTTAAGAGTGTATTTTCAGTAGTCTTTCTTTTGGCCTCAACAGCTGACCTGATTTCTCATGGTTAATAAAACCAGAGGCTTTTTGCTTTCACTCCTCTTATTGACTAAAATAAGGACACTTTGAGTAATCCTGCCTCCATTTCTCATTGTCTCACCTAATCTAACCTTTGCGTTCACGTATTTATTTCTTCATGTCTGGAAGATTTCTATTTGACCACAAATCCTCAAACGTCAACCAGGCTTCTCCTGGACCCTCATTAAGACTCTCTACATCTGTATGATTGACCAGACCGTGACCACTAATGGTAATGTGGTCACTAAATGAAATACTGGAAATATCTGTTGATAATGCCAGAGGCAGAAGAAGAATGGATTGGAGCAGACTTTCAAACAAAACTATTTCTGGTGCTTTCAATGATATGAAGTGTGCCAGTGTGGCCATATGCTACTTTTTACTTTGTCTTGCACCTTGAAGGATAGCATATTATTATGTGGATGTGAGCACATACACCAATCAGCTACAATATCAAAACCACTTGTCTCATACTGTTTAGATCCAAGTGATGCTGCCAAAATAGCTCTGACTTGCTGAGGTATGAGCATGAGAGCTCTGTGCTTGTCTTGTGGTGCCTGACAGGGATGTTGGCAGCACATCCTATAGGTCCTGTCAGTTGCTGGGTGGGCTGCCTCCAAGTTTGACTCGACCAGTTCAGTGATTCTGCTCCATTTACTGTTACTCAAGTTGTTTTGTTTTCGCAAAGGGGTGTGCTTGGTTTGTTATAATACTTAGGTTAATGTTATGTTTCAAAAATATTATCCAGAAAATGCAGAAATCCAGTGTCATACACTTGGTCAAATGCATTGTTGTGTTGCTAAGTGATCTGCACTAATACAACAAAGCATTTTTCTGTATGTGATCAAATTATCCTATAAAGTCTGCAAAGTTGCACCTGAACAAATCAACAGACTTCTGGAACAACGTCTTTTGGACAGAGGAGACCAAAGTGGAGATGGTCATAATGCACAGTGTCCCATTTGGCAAAAAACAAGCACAGCATATCAGCACAAACAGCCAAAGGACCTGGGCACATTGGAGTCATTGAGTGGAGCATCTGTATGCCAAAGTATTCTAGAGTCAAACTGTCCCAACAGTTAAAGATTGGCTGAAACTGGGTCATGCAACAGGACAATGATCACAATAGTAACAGACACACACTTTCAGACACATGCTTTTGAGTTTTAAAAATTGTAATAACTATCAGGGGCATGACATTAGTTATAGATTACTGAACTAAATGTGAGCAAAACATCTGCCTTTGATCTCGAAAGGAGCATGATTTTTCTTGCACTGTTTGGCCACCAAACCAATAAAAATAATATTTGACCAAAGTCATGCCCTGTTTGTGTACAGCTTAATCACAGGCAGCAGGGGTTCAAAGGGTTACCATGATCAAAAACGCCACATATCAAATACACAGCAATTACAATTTCTCTTTCATCAAGTAAAATACAAATAAAAAACATCACTGCGAATGAATCACGGAGTTACCAATTTGGTAGGTAGCTACACAAATGCCAGGATCTTATTGTCACCTATGTGCTGATAGATGTGTTTATTTTTTTCCCTGAGTTACTTTGAATTAGCACTCAACAGCAAAACAAACAAACAAACAAAAAAACAACAACACAGAAATGATTTATTCATATGTCTGAAAACACCATTTCCAACAACACAGTGAAAGGGTCACTGGGTTCACATTTAAATAAATCGTACAGAGAAACTACAGCTAACATGATGAACAGACATAGGAAGACATATCAGTCACACCCTTTCAGACACAGCACAATCTGTCAGTGACTTTCATTTTATAAACAAGGATGCTGATCTCTCACTGAATTCCAAACTCAATTTTTAGAGATTTTCCAGAGGGAAAACTAACTGTTGAGATTAATTTAAGAAGCTGATCTAGGCTGCAAACTGGGGCGCATACTTACATACAGAGGCACTTTTCTTCTGCTCAGTTCCATCTGCAGGGAAGACAAACATAAAACAAAAAGATAACTGAGAGACTAAAATGAAAAAGAGAAAACACACTGCACACTTGGAGTGGCCATGTGACTACCCATTACCTCTTTTGTTATTTTGGTTATTCTGCTTTTTCCTCTGATCCTGAAGAGATTACCAAACCTTTTATGTGCCGTGCTGAGTCAGGGGTCCTGTGATGAGACAGGATAATCTTTTGATCCCAAGAATAATGATTTTAATGATGATACTATTCTGCCTTGGTGTGTTGAAGCACCGAAACGCCAAATGTTCCCAAATCTGCTGTGTGTGTGCCTGCGTGTTTAGTAGGAAATCGATTGGATTTCAGCCTGCAGGGTTCAGATCGGTTCTGTATCAGTGGTCACTTCCTAAACTGGACACAATCCCTGTAAAACAACTATTTTTAAAGAAAAAAATTGCTGCTTTTTTTTAATTACTGCATTGCATTTACATTTAAAATGGTATATATATTTTAAATAACATTAACTAAATATCAGAGTGTCAAAGGAAAAACAATTTAAAGGGGGTAGGGGGACTTTGCGCTATTTTGTAAATATGCTAGCTATATGACACAGCAGAAGTGCTCATCCCAGTTGGGACGTCAGTGGCTATTTCTCATAAAATATCCTCCACCTATCTTAAGGTGCAATTGTATTTTTTCTTGATGGCTCAAAGTCATTTTACTTATTGTTAAAAGCTTTTTAAATTACGCTGTTTTGGGAGTCTTAACGAGTTAGCAAACTGTCAGTAAGACTGCATGCAAAACACACACTGAACTAATTCCTCAAGTAAAATATTGACGCACCCACCTGCACAGGGGCTCAAACTCCGACAGAACCTTGGCAGCACGCTTATATGTGGGGGAGAAAAATCCCTCTAATTCGGATTCATCCTCCTTTTGCTAACTGCTAATTCAACTGTCCGTATTTAGGCTACAAGTTGGGAAGGGGTCGACAGTCGGTGCTGATGCGCTTGCAGACTGAGCCTCAGCCTCCACTGACACAGCATCCTCTCCTGTCTCTGTTTAAGCCTTCGGTCTTCCGTCTGCTTACATGCAAATTCCTCCTTTACGAGTGAAAGTTCAGTTTCTTTGAGGTTACAGCTCCCCCCAATGGAGGGCGATAAAACTGTGCCAGGCTATATAAACAAAAACATTCATTTTAACAATGGAAATTTACTGCGCCTGTTGTTCAAAGCAATTAAACAATTATAATCAGTCAGTGTGGAAATGGCAAACGACTTATTTTTTATTTGCTCATGAAACGTTTACATTTACATTATAAAAATACACACTCACAGTGAACTCAGCCACTACCATGCATACAGACTCGCATTTACAATTCAACTTGCAATTATAAGCTTTCTAATACAAGAAATGCTTTGCTTTACATCCACACATTCAGATATTCTTCATACAGTAAATGTATGGTCTCTCTGATCCTTATTGTGCTAGTCACACTGAATTAAATCACCAGAGTGAGACTGTGGTTTCGTCAGTCTCTTAAAACTTGCACCTTTCTTTTTCGAAATGTCCTAGACAGGAGCTTTGCGTCTGATGCTCCATTAAGAAATGTTTTAAAGGTACTTAAACCCAGTCTAAAGTAGCTTATAAGTCTCAGGTGACCTGCAGCTGTGGTTTTGAGGTGCTTGGTTCTCCCTGAGTCAGACCATTCGACCTGCCAATGCCAGAGCATGGCACCTCCTTTCTTGGGAGGGAGGAAGCAAACATTGTGTCCAACATTCCCAACACCTCCAAAAGGTCCTTCTGGAATTCGATCTCTCTCTTCACAAGGTCCTGCAACCGCAGCAGCTGTCGGTCCACCACGGGTGACTGGCCAATGACTGACTGATAGATGTCCAGGATCATCTCGGCTGCTGTTACGAGGACAGGAGTAAATCTGGCATCAACCAAGTTCCTGGATGAAACAGAAAAAAAAGAATGAATGTGGGAAACATTTTTCTGCATGATCTGTTGTACAGCTGCAAACAATAAAACTCAAAGCATTCAAATCAATGAGCCAAAACATTATGACTTCTCTTTTGGTACTTTTTGTGCCACCAAAACAGCTCTAACCTGCTGAGGCACAGACATAGAGCAAGCTAAGACCTGATTTCTACTTCCATGGGGAATCTTTGTAGATTCCCCTACGACAGAACCTAAATATGCAGCCACTGTTGTTGCACTGTTGTTATGTGGTAATTACCGTGTGGTTGTGTCCCATGTTTTATATGGGGTACTATCCATGATAGAAACAGAAAAAGAACAAAAAACGCTGGGAGCAATGGTACTTTCTGTGAAGCATTTTCAGAATTCAGACAGCCATTTGTAAATTCTACACTAGACAAAAGATGTAAAGTAATAGTGCGTATTTTAGAACCAAGTGTTGACCTACAAATTCGTAAATCACACTTACATCAGTCAAAGGGGATTTTTTTGTGCCAAAGGTTCTTTACCCTGAAACGGGTACTTAAAATAAAAATAAAAAACTCCCTAAGTTCACTTTAATTCCTGCAGTGCAGACACACAAAATTGGAGAGACGTCTTTCAAGAATTAGAGGAACTACACAAAAGTGTCTGTGGTCCAAAAGTGACCGATCAAATAATTAGTGTAATTTTTTTTAGACCTTGAGGCTGTTATTCACTTCGTTTGTGAGGGGTCATAATGCTAACATTATGGCTCAGTTTTCTCTGGCATCTCACCCAATGATGAAGTTGAGTAACTGAGAGAGCCCTCGTTCATCCCTTCCTGCCAGTGCATTCTTCAGTGTTCCTCTTCTATCCAGCTCCTTTATAACAGCCACGGTGATCTCAGGCTTTCTGAATCTAATATATGTCTATAAACAAAAAAAACAATACCTTTGAACATTAAACACAATAATACTTTAAACTTTTATTTTTCCAAAATAACTGCACATACTGTTGTGTACTGCCCACTGTAAAATGAACAACACGGAGACTAAAAGGCACCTCAGCAATGATATAATGATAACACTATAAATCAATAAATTGCATACCCCCAGAGCTGTATCCAAAGCCTTGGATACGTTAAACCTTTGAAGTTGCTTGTCATATTTGGCCAAATGTTCTTTGACAGGCTTACTGACAAGATAATCATCCTAGAGAAGAACCAAGAATTGAATGAATCAAGGGTGAGAAATCAAACAGTCTCATGAGTCAATCTGATTTTGTGTTAACACTTAACACTTTGCATTACATCTGAGAATGATTTTCACACCTTCTATGTGTTACTAATCGTGAACTTGCCTGTTTAGGGACATAATTTTTCCCTTTCACAAAGACACGATACGATGGACGGCGCCTCTGTTGGCCAGCTATTTCCTTTGAATCTTCTTGGTTTTTCCTGTGTTTGATACTCAGAATACTGTTGGTCATACCCACAACAATGGACGCATCATCCGGCTAAAAAGAAAAAGATATTCAGAGTTTTACTTTTATCAATTAAAGAAACAGAATGAATTCTTATAGCAGATCTCGCCCATCTAAGCTCACTTTGGTGGTGTATTCAGTGAATGCACTTCATCTACAGAAAGGTTGAAATAGTAAATAAAATATATATTTTAGCAACTAACAAAGGCTCAAGTGCATGACTTACAGCCAAACCCAGACTGAGGATAGAAGCAGCATAGTCAAAGTTGTGGACCACTTTGTAGTTTGTTGTGTTGTACACCTTCACGTGCCTGAAAGACAAACACGGGATATGCATTAAATCAACTTTCCTTTCATGAACGCCCTAGGTACACAGAACAAAACCAAGCACATGATTTACACATGTACTATTAACTAAATATTCAGCATTGTGACGTTTGATTCCACCAGTTAGAACATTTCCTCTTTCTTTGTTATGACAGACGTGCATGCGTTTGACATTTACCTGTCAAGAGAAGCTGACAGCAGTCTCTGTCCGTTGCTGCTGAGAGCCAAACTTGTGACAGTTTTGTGATGGTTCTTCAGTGACACCAGAGGCTGGCCTCCTTTTAGCAGATCCCAAACCTTCACATGGCGCCCTCCTGAAAAAAAAAGGGATTGAAGGTTTTTTAATGCTGTGGTTAACCATGATTAAATATAATGTAAGGTTTGTAGATGAGGGCACGTAATAAAATAAAATTATTGTAACGTTTGTCTGAACTGCAGCCACAGTGAAGCATGAAATGGACTGCTGTTGTTGCCCTATGTTGTAGTCCAAGAAAATTACGTTCTAAATGAGTATTTAACAAGTACTAAATAAGTACTCAACACAAGTTAGTTATTCCAAGTAGTTGCCATAGCAGCTGGATAATTTGGCATAGATTTTGCACCAGATACCATTCCTGGCACAACTTTCCCATTTATTCAGCCTTAGAACTGGCACATAAGAATGAAATCATTAAATCGCGGTCTATGATACTTTTCCTTATTTTCTACAATATATGTAGTGTTAGGATGGTGGATGCTCATATTAAACATGGCCAAAGTTTCAAATAATGAAGTCAGCATATGTACAGGTAATCCGTATAGGCAAACAGACCCAGGTTTCAGCCGGGTTTAAGTGGTCAGTTTTAGACAGTTTTCTCCTACTCTTGTGTCGGTCATCCTTCAAATTGTCATTTCATAAAAGGGTTGTGAGCACAGCAGCTCCATCCATCTACTAAGAAGAGTACTGGCTTAAAGGTAGGCTTTTCGTAGCCATGTCTAGTTCCAGACAATAGATTATTACTAGGGGCAGCACCTAGGCCCAGTGCAAGATAAACAAAGATTATTTTAAACTGCAGATGACTAAAAGTATGCCAACTAATTCCAGGAAGTAAAAAAGGTGTGAAGCTTAAAATTAGCTCAGCAGACAGTCAGTGTTTGAATTATATGAATTATACTGGTGACTACCTGCAGACACAAGAAGTCCCTCAGAGGGATAGAGGAGGACACTCTCCACTGGCTGGCCATGGTCCATGGTTATCACACTCTTTTCCACTCTGGCATCAAACAGTTTCACTGTGTGGTCATATGATCCTAGAAAAAGAGCATCAAATGTTAGTCACACAAAATCAGGCCATCTGCAGCGTCACTTGATTCAACAATAGATGGTAGCATTTGGAGTGAGATTATGTAGTTTTTCTGCAGTTACTGACTTTGAATATGAATTAGTGTACTTCTGTCTTAACATTACATTAATGAGATTACTGTTCGTTGCTTGAATCCTCCATTATGTGGTGCAGGAGATGTTTTTCTTTCATTACATGACTGTTGGTAAAAATTGCACTCGAAATTGAAATATAAAATGAGTGTGATTGATGCCAACAGGGCAAAATGTTAACTTCCTGTCCTCCTCTCGATATTTCCACACACAATTAAAAATGAGCTTCTATCTCACCAGTTATGAAGAGATCTCTGTTGAGTTTGCTTGTGACACCACAGCGAATATAATCTGTGTGCTCTGTGTAGGTGGTGAGCTCAGTGGCATTTGGAATGTCCCAAAGTCGACAAGTATAGTCATCCGACCCTGTGAGGATCTGGTAACGATCTGAGGTGAAGTCTGTTAAATGTACTGCTCTGGGAAAAAAATAAAAAACAAATGACATGATTAATATCAGCTCACGTTTGAGACTGCACTTTTATAAGACAGAAATACAGGCTGTCAGAATTCTTGATGTCATCATCAAATTCAGTCGATGGATCACTCAAGAAATCATCATTCAACTACTCCTTTACTAAAAAAAACAACCTCATAAGACACTGCCAGCTCATCAGAGTCAATCAGACATTTTAACAGGACATCAGCATTATGGTTTTAGTGGTAGACCATTGATTTCTAATGTGGAGAGTATCCACCTGGTGGGTCATAAAAGTATTGCAGGTGAACAGGTAATAACCAATAAGACTAAAATTAAGTTTGAAATCGTCAAAAATGTTTGAATAAACAATAAAATAAATCATCAGCAATGGTCATTAGTAACATGTTTTGATTTTTACTTTTGTAACTACCGGTGAAAGTGACATAAGGAAAGAAAT